GGTAGAGAATTTAGCTCAGTCTGATGGAAACTACAATGAGGATTATGACAGAACCATCAGAGGAAGTTCAGACTTAGAGGAGAAGCACCGCAAGGACATGAAGGCCATGAATGACAAGCTGGACAAGCTACTCCTTGTGCAACAGAAGCAAGTCCATTTTCTCTGTGAAGCTTTTTTAGTGTTTTTGGAGTCAAATATGACTAGATCTCGTGTGTATGATTGGATATAAGAACTAGAACCTCAACCGGATCTCGTAAGCTAAATTAGTGTTTTTCCGTTTAGAAGGTCCAAAACCGAAAACTCATAGGACTTCGGCCATACCCACAAAGCTTTGAGAGGGTATAAGAAGCTTCGTTAGTGTTTTTGGAGTCAAATATGACTAGATCTCGTGTGTATGATTGGGTATAAGACCTAGAACCGCAACCGGATCCCGTAAACTAAAGTAGTGTTTTTCCGTTTAGAAGCTCCAAAATCGAAAACTCATAGGACTTCGGCTACACCCACAAAGCTTTGAGAGGGTATAAGAAGCTTGGTTAGTGTTTTTGTTGTCAAATATGACTAGATCTCGTGTGTAAGATTGGGTATAAGAACTAGAACCGTAACCGGATCCCGTAAGCTAAAGTAGTGTTTTTCTGTTTAGAAACTCCAAAACCAAAAACTCATAGGACTTCGGCCACACCCACAAAGCTTTGAGAGGGTATAAGTAGCTTGGTTAGTGTTTTTGGAGTCAAATATGACTAGATCTTGTGTGTATGATTGGGTATAAGAACTAGAACCGCATTCGGATCCCGTAAGCTAAAGTAGTGTTTTTCCGTTTAAAAGCTCTAAAACCGAAAACACATAAGACTTCGGCAACACCCACAAAGCTTTGAGAGGGTATAAGAAGCTTGGTTAGTGTTTTTCGAGTCAAATATGACTAGATTTCGTGTGTATGATTGGGTATAAGAACTAGAACCGCAACCGGATCCCGTAAGCTAAAGTAGTGTTTTTCCGTTTAAAAGCTCTAAAACCGAAAACTCATAGGACTTCGGCCACACCAACAAAGCTTTTATAGGCAATAAGAAGCTTGTTTAGTGTTTTTGGAGTCAAATATGACTAGATCTCGTGTGTATGATTGGATATAAGAACTAGAACCTCAACCGGATCCCGTAAACTAAATTAGTGTTTTTCCGTTTAGAAGCTCCAAAACCGAAAACTCATAGGACTTCGGCCATACCCACAAAGCTTTGAGAGGGTATAAGAAGCTTCGTTAGTGTTTTTGGAGTCAAATATGACTAGATCTCGTGTGTATGATTGGGTATAAGACCTACAACCGCAACCGGATCCCGTAAACTAAAGTAGTGTTTTTCCGTTTAGAAGCTCCAAAATCGAAAACTCATAGGACTTCGGCTACACCCACAAAGCTTTGAGAGGGTATAAGAAGCTTGGTTAGTGTTTTTGTTGTCAAATATGACTAGATCTCGTGTGTAAGATTGGGTATAAGAACTAGAACCGCAACCGGATCCCGTAAGCTAAAGTAGTGTTTTTTCTGTTTAGAAACTCCAAAACCAAAAACTCATAGGACTTCGGCCACACCCACAAAGCTTTGAGAGGGTATAAGTAGCTTGGTTAGTGTTTTTGGAGTCAAATATGACTAGATCTTGTGTGTATGATTGGGTATAAGAACTAGAACCGCATTCGGATCCCGTAAGCTAAAGTAGTGTTTTTCCGTTTAAAAGCTCTAAAACCGAAAACACATAAGACTTCGGCAACACCCACAAAGCTTTGAGAGGGTATAAGAAGCTTGGTTAGTGTTTTTCGAGTCAAATATGACTAGATTTCGTGTGTATGATTGGGTATAAGAACTAGAACCGCAACCGGATCCCGTAAGCTAAAGTAGTGTTTTTCCGTTTAAAAGCTCTAAAACCGAAAACTCATAGGACTTCGGCCACACCAACAAAGCTTTTATAGGCAATAAGAAGCTTGTTTAGTGTTTTTGGAGTCAAATATGACTAGATCTCGTGTGTATGATTGGATATAAGAACTAGAACCTCAACCGGATCCCGTAAACTAAATTAGTGTTTTTCCGTTTAGAAGCTCCAAAACCGAAAACTCATAGGACTTCGGCCATACCCACAAAGCTTTGAGAGGGTATAAGAAGCTTCGTTAGTGTTTTTGGAGTCAAATATGACTAGATCTCGTGTGTATGATTGGGTATAAGACCTACAACCGCAACCGGATCCCGTAAACTAAAGTAGTGTTTTTCCGTTTAGAAGCTCCAAAACCGAAAACTCATAGGACTTCGGCTACACCCACAAAGCTTTGAGAGGGTATAAGAAGCTTGGTTAGTGTTTTTGGAGTCAAATATGACTAGAGCTAGTGTGTATGATTGGGTATAAGAACTAGAACCGCAACCGGATCCCGTAAGCTAAAGTAGTGTTTTTCCGTTTAGAAACTCCAAAACCAAAAACTCATAGGACTTCGGCCACACCCACAAAGCTTTGAGAGGGTATAAGTAGCTTGTTTAGTGTTTTTGGAGTCAAATATGAGTAGCTCTCGTCTGTATGATTGGGTATAAAAACTAGAACCGCAACCGGATCCCGTAAGCTAAAGTAGTGTTTTTCCGTTTAGAAGCTCCAAAACCAAAAACTCATAGGACTTCGGCCACACCCACAAAGCTTTGTGAGGGTATAAGAAGCTTCGTTAGTGTTTTTGGAGTCAAATAGGACTAGATCTCGTGTGTATGATTGGGTATAAGAACTAGAACCTCAACTGGATCCCGTAAGCTAAAGTAGTGTTTTTCCGTTTAGAAGCTCCAAAACCGAAAACTCATAGGATTTCGGCCATTGCCACAAAGCTTTGACAGGGTTAGTGTTTTTGGAGTCAAATACGACTAGATCTCGTGTGTGTGATTGGGTATAAGAACTAGAACCGCAACCCGACCCCGTAAGCTAAAGTAGTGTTTTCCGTTTAGAAGCTCCAAAACCGAAAACTCATAGGACTTCGGCCACACCCACAAAGCTTTGTGAGGGTATAAGAAGCTTGGTTAGTGTTTTTGAAGTCAAATATGACTAGATCTCGTGTGTATGATTGGGTATAAGAACTAGAACCGCAACCGGATCCCGTAAGCTAAAGTAGTGTTTTTCCGTTTAAAAGCTCTAAAACCGAAAACTCATAGGACTTCGGCCACACCTACAAAGCTTTGATAGGCTATAAGAAGCTTGGTTAGTGTTTTTGGAGTCAAATATGACTAGATCTCGTGTGTATGATTGTATATAAGAACAAGAACCTCAACCGGATCCCGTAAGCTAAAGTAGTGTTTTTCCGTTTAGAAGCTCCAAAACCGAAAAATCATAGGACTTCGGCCACACCCACAAAGCTTTGAGAGGGTATAAGAAGCTTGTTTAGTGTTTTTGGAGTCAAATATGACTAGCTCTCGTCTGTATGATCGGGTATAAGAACTAGAACCGGAACCGGATCCCATAAGCTAAAGTAGTGTTTTTCCGTTTAGAAGCTCCAAAACCGAAAACTCATAGGACTTCGGCCACACCCACAAAGCTTTGAGAGAGTATAAGAAGCTTGGTTAGTGTTTTTGGAGTCAAATATGACTAGATCTCGTGTGTATGATTGGGTATAAGAACTAGAACCGCAACCGGATCCCGTAAGCTCAAGTAGTATTTTTCCGTTTAGAAGCTCCAAAACCGAAAACTCATAGGACTTCGGCCACACCCACAAAGCTTTGAGAGGCAATAAGAAGCTTGGTTAGTGTTTTTGGAGTCAAATATGACTAGATCTCGTGTGTATGATTGGGTATAAGAACTGAACCGCAACCGGATCCTGTATGCTAAAGTATGGGTTTTTTCGTTTAGAAGCTACACAACCGAAAACTCATAGGACTTCGGCCATACCCACAAAGCTTTGAGAGGGTATAAGAAGCTTGGTTAGTGTTTTTGGAGTCAAATATGATATATCTCGTGTGTATGGTTGGGTATAAGAACTAGAACCGCAACCGGATCCCGTAAGCTAAAGTAGTGTTTTTCCGTTTAGAATCTCCAAAACCGAAAACTCATAGGACTTCGGCCACACCCACAAATTCCAGTTAATCAAAAAGTAATTAGCATTAAGAACAACTAATCCAGACGGGATCTACCAATTAAACTCAACCACCTAGCAGATTAAGGATTCTAAACTACTCTGATCCTCAAGAACCCTAATCACTACTTCAAATTCATAACTAAGAACATAAACCCAGAAATGCATAAAAACTTTGTAACTTCAAGATCTTAACAAGATGAACAACTTTGTAGAAAAAATCAAAAACAAATACTGAATAAATTAAGAGTAATTTGGATTACAAAATTATGGAAAAACTAATTGTTCAGCGGATAAAGCATAAGTCTGAAAATTAAGAGAAACATCCTATTTATAGCAAATACTAGGAAGCCCTAAAACACAAAACGACAAAAATACTAAAGCGGTTTAAGAGGATACTTGACCCTTGTGATCGAGTAGAAGCGGTCGGGCAAAGTTGGCGTCTTTGCGGATTTTTTCTCTGGTCACGACGTGGTCGAGTGTCTGCTTCATCCTCTTCTCTTCCTTATGCTAAAGTGTCTGGTTAAGTGCGGATTTGAGAAAGCTCTAAAGCTGCGATCGAGTGTTGGTGTCGAGTGTGAGGTCGAGTAGCTCTGAGGAAGACTTAACTAGAGATACTCGACCATGCAATCGGGTGGTGGATCGAGTATCTGATTGTGGGATGCGGTCGAGTATTTTGAGGAAGACTTGGCTGAAGGTACTCGAGTATACTACTTGATTCCGGCTCGCTTCTTCCAATTTGCTCACCAACAGCTCCAAATCACCTGAAAACAACTCAAGAATGCGACATGTATGCAAAACTATCCTAAACATGAAAAGTGTAGACAAATGATGAAGAATGATATGAAACAATGATGAAATGATGCTAGAGTGATGACAAATGAATGTTTAAAACAAGTAAAATACAGACATATCAGAGCTCCTGTTCTAGGTTAACACTCTTAGAGGCAGGCCAAACAATCATCTGTCCAACAGCTTCTCAATTGTGAACATGTTAATCGTAGGTCTCCAAAGGAATGCCTCTAGTACAATAGCAATGTCAACCAAAACTTTAACATCTGTAGGACCTAAGCGACAATCATTCACTAAGTCATCCGGATCAGAAGTAATAATACGCCCCTCAGCAATATTTGCATCACCACCAGTCCAGTTAGTCAAGATACACTTTGGTTGTGATCTTTTGTTCACGCTCTATAAAAATGTTAATAAAATAAATAACAGAGTATATAGAAACAAAGAAATCACACATCTGATATAAATGTCTTACTCTAGCTGCAGCTGAGTTTTCACCAACTTCAGGATTTAGTCTCTGTTAAAAAAAAAAATATATAAAGTCACTACAAGAAATTAAAGTATTGATAGCAATAGAATATAGCGTTCCATGCCTTTTTGCTATAGTTGACATATCTCTCAGTTTTAGATAGCGTTTGTCAAAATACAAACGCTATGTTTGGATTCTCGGATTTTAGTTTCGAGAATGTTTTATTGAGCTGTATTATATATAGCACTAGTATGTTTAAAACGCTATGCATATTTAGACGCAGAAAAGAGAATTCATTTATCTCAAAAGAAAATGAAGCGGTTAATAAATTTTCATTCTCCCTCTCATATGAAGCGACATTTGACCTAAAATTATTTAGTTTTTTTCTATGTTCTCTCTTGCTCCTCCTTCCGTCTTCTTCTTCATCTCCTTTCAACTCTCTCTCTCTCTTTATCCCCTTCTTTCTCTCCATGCCTGAACTCATCGTGTCTCAAAAACCTCAATCCTTCTCTACTACCACAGCAGCCGTTTCCATGTTCTTAAGCCTTTAAAATATGTATATGAGTTCGCCGTAGGAAGCTTCTCTCCTATTCCCGATGCCCAAGATAGCCGCCATCACTGCCTGGAACTCTACTCCGCCGGATCCGCCAGATTTGTGCGTGTTTCCCTCTCAGCTTTAGATGTTGATTGCTCTACAGATCCAGCAGACCCTCCAGATTCACCGCGACTCTCTCCAGTCCCTCTATGTTTCTCTGTCTTTGTCACTAATGAATCGTTATTTAGCTATTTAGGGTTTTGTGACGACTCTTATTTTCTGGGTTGCATTAACTAGATCGATTCTGGGAAATTTCTTAGCTCCATCATCCAATTTCATAAATTTGTATGCATCTCCGTTTATTAGTCACCGAATTTTAATTTATGAGTTTTTTGTTTGTTTCTTGCTAGAGTTTTGCTTTTAGGTTCATAAATTTTGCTTCTTTATGTTTACTTGCTCCATCGAAGGTATATATTTCCTGTAATTCGTTTCTAGAAATTGGGGATATTTAAGTTTTAAGGTTTGGTGTCTCTGTTTTAAGTACTGTGTAATCTTCGAGTCTGGATTAAGACTTGTGTGATTATTACTACTTCGTGCTCATACTCATGTTCTTGGAACCTTTTAACTATAATTAATTTGGTTTCAGTTTAGTTTTAATTATTTTCCATGTGTTTAGCTGTTGAAGCTTATTAAGGTGTAGAAATAAGAAAGCTACTCTTGTTTTCTCTCTATTTTTGTTTCTTGCAGATGGTGTATGTGGTTGTTTTAACCAAGAAAAAGATGGAGATGTAAATCCCAGGTTTGTTTTAGAGATCTTTATTGAATAGACAATGGAAGGCTCTCACATCTGAATCAATTTCAGTTTCTTGATATGTTTTTATTTGACTTTGGTAGGGCTTAGAGACTTCTCACCTCAACACATCACTGATACCCATAGAAAAGTAACGTCCTCAAAAACAAAGAGAAACAAGTAAGTGTTTTAGGTGCAAAATACACACTCAGTCACTCATATTTCAGAAAAAAAAATCAAGATTGAGACCTATTTTAAATTCTTACCTATTTTGTTCAGGAGCTGCATCAATATTCAAGACCAAGATACGGAGGAGCCAATTCAAAGAGGAAGCACTTGGGTGATTCACACTCTCTTGTTTGATCTGTTTTGGGTATATACACACTCTCTTGACGTCGATGGCTGTTCTTAGCTGTTTTGTTTCTGTTTTTGATTTTATCCTTGTCCATATGTGATGAATTGGTTTTACAGGATGCGTTTTATGCAATGGTGATGTGCCGTGTTGTAGTCAACTGGAGTTGGAGGAATCAAGATTGTGAATACGCCTTGGTGAATATATGTATCTTTAGAAGTTTCTAAAGTAGAAAAAAATTGTGATATGTATTGTTGTTCTTCATTAAATACAAATCTTTTTGGTCTCTTAATAAAAATTATTATTATTATTATTATTATTGATTGTTTTGGGTGTTTATAAATTAAATTAGAGCTCCTATTAATAAAATTCAAAATGCAAAATTCAAATCCACATATTATGAATAATAGATTTGATAACAAAATTGAAATGTTATTGTAGAGTATACTATAGCAGAGATAAATCCGCTATTAATATTTTAATTTAGATAGCACATACAAAAAGCGCTATCTAAAGTCGCTGACCTATTGTCGCGGTCGATGATATAGCGTTTCTAAATACGCTACTCTAGCGATAAATAGCGTTTTTTGGACGTTATCAATTCCTGATTTTCCTGTAGTGAGTCAAATATTGTGTAATAATGCAGCAGCTTAATGTAGAAATAGAGAAATGTCTAACCTGGTTCTTCATTTTTTCAATTACATCTTGTAACTCATTGACCTTAAGCTGGAGATTAGCTTGTTTCTCTTGCATTTCAGCCATACATTTGTTCGTCACTTGGAAACAAGATAATTTGGTCTTAGTCATATTTCTACCCATTACCTTTAATCGACCAGGATTATCAGGTCCTAATAGTTGGCTAAGTGAATTTTGTGCTTCTAATGTCGCAGATGAAGGAGCATCACTATTAACAATCTCCGCTGCCTTTCTCTGCAAATCACAAGATACAGATTTAAATGTTATTATTTTTGTCAAAGAAAAACTCACAGAGAGAACCACAAGTGTTATTCTATTCCCAACATACAAATCTTTGTAGCAAAATTGTATCACTCACAATCTTTTCATCCGCATTTGTATTAACTGGTGTACCATCTTTTCTGGTACGTGACTTGACCCAGACTTTAAGCCTTGATACTTCATCTGGATTTGGACTCTCTTTGTTCTAAACCAGCCAAAAAAAATTTAGATTGAATAAGTCTTTAAAATTAAAGTAGATTGATGAGTTTAAACAACATAATTGTAGTATGATTACCATTTCTTCTGTTAGTCTAACCATTCCTTTGCGGCTAGTGGTGTGAGGAATCTGTTTGCGCCTTCTCTCTTTATAGCTATCGCTCACAACCTAACAGAGTAATTGTATTATGTAATCTACTATATCAGAAAAAAACTTAGCTAATTCCAAATGAATACCTTGAATTCTTTGCTAGTTTTGAGCTTGACAAATTTACGCTATTCAAATGGAGAAACATTCTTAGGTCGCAGATTCATCCTATATTGGTTAGTCTTGGCTTCTCTAATCTTGGTAACAAGATGTGATTTCCATGACCTCTATAGACATCCCATTTGTTTAAGCATTGCAGTCTTCTGGTACTCTTCATCTACCTCAAACCTTGCCTGCACTCATTTACAAAAAAAAAACAAAAAACAGTAAATGGAATTGCAATATCTGAAGACCAATATATGATTAAGTTAATAGAGTAGATGGCAATGTTAAGGAAATCTTACATGGACAGATTCCAGAGAATTGTCCTGATTTCTTCAGTTATTTTAGTCCAACAATCAAATGTGATAGGAACGTGTTCCCGTACCAATGCACCTATGTATGATATCTTAACTGACCCTTTACCATAAGGTACGGTTCTCCCATGGTAATGAACTCTACTTGTACTCTGGTATTTGGATCCTTCGCAATGTCTTTCATGCGTGTTGGTCCTCGCTGTCTCTTACTCTTCCAAACAACAAGCTCATGATCTTCAAAGAATTGTATCTCACCTTCAGGCTCTTTTTCATTCATCTCTTGATCAGAAACTTCTTCATTCAGCTCTGTTTCTACCAAATGCTCTGGCCCATCTTGTACTTGAGCTTCTGGTTCTTCCAAATTCTCTAGCTCATCTTGTACTTGAGATCCTGGTTCTACCAAATGCTCTGGCTCATCTTGTACTTGAGATTCTGGTTCTACTTGTTCTGGTTCACGGGTGCCCACATATTCTACCTCCTCATTCTTTTTAGAGCTTCGTCCTCTCTTTTTCTTTGGACGTCCCATTTTAACTCACCTGAAAAAATGAGAGAACAAAGAGTTAAAACATTATGATTCTACTTCTCCATAACAACAGAACATATATGATACACACAAATCAAAATGAGAGAACAAAGAGTTAAAACATTTATGATTCTCCCTATACGACATCAGACATATTAAAGGCCATCTATAAGTGAAAATGATGAAGAAGCTACATTTCACACATTTATTCCTTCACAATCAGTTCTCTCATTTTCTGCTTCATCCAAGTCAACACCCATGTCAATATTAGCTGGTAATGGACTAATGTTTGCAATTCCAACTTGAAAATCTTTCTGACTGAATCTTCTTGAAGGACTTCTCATAGCAACATACCAACTTGATGACTCGTCTTTCCTTGAGTAAAAAACTTGCTTTGCTTGAGAGGCTAAAATGTACGGATCCCTTGAAAAACTAACTTGACTATGATTCAGATTAACAAGTGTGAAACCATCTTCTTCTTTTACTCCATTACCCTTCATTGCCCTTTGAAACCGGAATAAATGAACATAAAACACATTATAGTCCAACAAAATAATATCAGTTACTCTCCCGTGATACCAAATCCACCACTTGTGAAGTGTCCTTAGCACTAGACCTACAGATTGACGTAGCCTCATAAAAAACACCACTATTCTGACTTTTCATATCTACTGAACTTGTGTGAAACCGCTGCCCATTGACTATATAACCTGTATATGACCGTGCATAACTACATAGACTAAATGCCAACCATTTAAGTGTTTCTTCATGTCTGTGAATCAAGAGGTATCTAGCAATATAAAAGAAAATAAATGTCAGACACTTAGCAAGTAGAACAGGTCAGATATTCAGATAAACTAATATTAGCCTGTTATTTTAGCCAAGAGACAAAATTTTGATCATGCATACTCCGTAATGTTGATGCATCACGTCTACATCTTCCATTTGAGTTTTGTAGATGTTGCAAATGTTCACTTGTAAGTCAAAAGGAAAATAAGAAGGAATCAGTTTTAGTAAATTCATATATAGAAATGTTAAATGAATTAGCTAGAAAACTGAGGAACTTACTCCACATAAGGATCAACCACAGTCATATTTTGGATGATAGCCATATGAGCTATTTTCTTCTCAATTTTAGTGAGAGATATTGACTTGCCTGTAGATATAGGACGCCCCTCAAGAATAGAGTTATTCTCATACTCAGTGTTTCTATCTACCTTCTCTTGAACATTTTTCGTCTTCTTCAAAAATTCATTACAAAACTAGATGCATTCTTCAACAAGATAGCACTCAGCAATGCAACACTCTAGTCTTGCAGTGTTTCTGACAAAGTCTTTCAGGACTTTCATATACCTCTCAAATGGGTACATCCATCTAAAATGAACCGGTCCACCTAGTCTAGCTTCCCTTCCTAAATGGAAGGGAAGCTAGACTAGGTGGAAGCTGAGGTTATTAGAACTTTAGGTGGACCGGTTCATTTTATAGACTAGGTGAAACTTTAGGTGAAACTCTCTGCATGTAGAGAGTTTCAACAACCTCAGCTTCCAATATCAAAATTTGCTCCCTATCAATTACTCGCTGACACAAATGGTTGAAGAATGAGCATAAGTATACAATTGCTATCCTAGGACCTTTAGGTAACAAACCTCTAAGTGCAATGGGAAGAAGCTGTTGCATTAGCACATGATAATCATGTGATTTCAGCCCTGTGATCTTACAGTCTTGTAATGAGACGCCTATTGATATGTTTCTACATCATTATCAGCTGGTAACATCTCCGGCAGTGTCTCTAGGAGATCATTGAAGCTCTTGCCAGACCAGTCATCCTTTGTCTTAAGTCTGAATAGTGATACAATAGCCGACAGCTTGCTATGGTTAATTAAGACAACTTGGATATAGTGGTGTTTCAGCATCTACAAACTTTGCTAGGAACTCATCTTCTTCCTTGTCCAAACCCTCTGCAATCTCACATAGGTCAACTTTGGAAGCAAACTCTTCTTCCAAATATTCAGCAGCCTGATATAACCCAACAATCTCATCATTCCACTGACTTTGATTGCTTTCACCTCCAACCACTGGATTCAATTCTCCATGATGATACCAATCAGACCCCATCTTGTAAGCCTCGTCCATTGCCCTTGTTATAAGATGATCAACTATAACACTGCCTGAGTGACAATCTATGTTATGACAATCAATGCAAGGACATACAATCATATCAACGTCTCCCATTACCGCAGCCACAGCCCATACAAAATTAGTAGCCCCTCTCTCATAAGCAGGATCAACTCTTCATTGAAGATGAAGACTTAAAGGGGAAGGAAAAAAAATGCAAAGTCTCCAAATTCCCTGATAAAACTAGTCTATAAAAAAAAAATCTTACCTGCAAAGGTGCATCCAATCCTTATCCACCATTATATAATGTGACTGTAATTTAAACCTTTAGTGATATAAGAACTAGTTCAGATTTAATGAAAGACACTTGACCCATCACAGAATCACTTAATATTCAGACTAATTAACAAATAAATCAAACTCAAATTTTAAGTCAATCTAAACAATCTATATAACTCAATCTCAGACCAGATCAAAGCATATGTAAATCACAAATCAGCATATTTAAAACCAATTAATCAAAGTGACATATATATGACCAAAAATAAGAGCCAAAGATAAGCTTCAAATTCTCATTACTTCACACAGCAACACTTGCAAAACAGAATTAGAGAATGAGTATATCTAGTTTCATGTGTTTGGTTATAGTAGCATATTTAAAACAAATGAAACTGAAAACAAGAAACATGGTAATCAATCAAACTCATATACTAGAAACAAGAAACGTGGTATTGACATGTCTCCATATATAGTATCATACCCAACAAGACATCAAGAGTAATGTACTAGAATCAAGAAACATGGTAATTAATCAAAGTCATGTAAGAGAAGATGGTACTAACCTGTCATGTGATAAGAGCAAATGATAAGCTTCAAAGTCCCATTATTTCACTCAGCAACACTTGCAAAACAAAATTATAGAATGAGTAAAAGGTTATGCAAGAAACTGAATAACTAAAAGTTTTAGTAAACAAAATAACTTAATCGATCTGACAATAACAACAAGATTCAGACAACAGACAAAGACAAAGCTAGAATACTGAACTTTAAACCTGATAAATTAGCCTAATCAAACAAAAGTGATAAACAAAATCTCAGTAAAAAACAAAATTGGAAAACAAAAATATACTCGTGTAAGAAGCTGGGCCAAACATAGAAAAATAGATACGGGTCCCCGCAATTCACTGCTCAGTTTCTGTTTCCTTTTCAACGTACTAAAAATTCAAACTTGTCATAAAACTTATGCTTATGTTTGTATCTGGTTTTGGTTAAACACAAGTTAGTCAGAATCCAACAAAGCAAAAACAGATTATTAAGGCATTGAATTGACAATCAAGAGAATATATATGATCTGACACATTCATACTCAATTGAAATCTGACAATAACAAAAACAAGAACCAAATTTCAGAGCAATATTGTTCACCTATGCCCAAATCAAACCACAAAACCATTAATGTGAAGAAATTGTTATGAATTCGCAAATAACAGATGCATGCAAAAGAAGAAACGAAAACGAAATAACCAAACTACCTAGAACATCAGATTAGTAACGAAATAGAAGAAAAATCAACCAAGAAAAAACCTAGAACAAACCTAGAACAAATCTATAGTAACGAAAAAGAAGAACAATCAACTGAGTAAAGGACATGCCTTCGATTTGAGCTCAAAGCCGACAGAAGTAAGGCGGAATTAGTGCCGGCGGCAGGTTCAGTTTCACGGTGACCTTCAGCGACGGCGACGGAGGGTTTAGTTGGAGGTTGGAAGAGTCGATTCGACAGTGACAAATAGTTAGGTCTGAGAGAGTTAGGGTTTTCGAGAAAGAGGGGAAAACGATTGTGAAGGCTAAAAGTCAAAATATTTGCCTAAGTGTTTGGCAGAATAAGGGATTTTGGGTTCCCGCTTATTGAAATTATATCTTAGCGTTTATGCAACGCTATTATAAAATAACCATAATTACATTTCATCTTCAATAGCACTTTCGTAATCCGTACTATTACCTAATGTAATCAATGTAGACTTTTTTTGTAGTGTCACTTAAAAAACTTGGGTAATCTATAATAAGTTTGTGTATGATTCTTGGAGTCCAAAATGACAAGATTAGTGTATGATTGAGTATAAGAAAGAAAAATGCAACCCGGATATTGGCTGCTAAAGTAGCGTAGATGCAAAAAAAAAAAAAACTCATAGGAACTTCGTCCTCACTTACAAAACTTGGGAAATGCATAATAAGATTGTGTAGGATTCTTGGAACCCAATATGAAAAGATTGGTGTGTATTGAGTATAAGAAAGAGAAATGCAACTCGGATCCTGGCTGCTAAAGTAGCATAAATGCAAAACAAAAAACTCATATGGACTTCGTCTTCACTTACAAAACTTGAGGAAGCAATACTAAGCTTGTGTAGGGTTCTTGGAGTCTAATATGACAAGAATAGTGTCTATAATTAAGTATAAGAGAGAGAAATGCAACCCAGATCCTGGCTGATAAAGTAGCGTAGATGCAAAACAAAAACTCATAGGGACTTCGGCCTTACTTACAAAACTTGAGGAAGACATAATAACCTTGTGTAGGGTTCTTGGATTAATAAAACTCTAGAAACTATTTTTTTTTTCAACAATACAGAAAACTATTCTAATTAGAATCATTCAAAAAATAATTGGACCGTGCGTAGTACGGGCTTTAATACTAGTTATGTTATAATAGCAAATAGAACTATATATATATATATTTTTATAATATATATATATATATTTAGTATATATATCTTTATTGTATATATATATATATATCTTTAATTAATTTTATAATATATATATATATATATATATATATATATATATATATATACGTATACATTAAAATATAGAAAAATATAATATATATATATATATATCTTTATCTATAATACATATATACATAAAAAATCTTTATTGCATATCTAAATATATATATAATATCATTTAAATCTTAACATTTGGTTTGAATTTTTGATAAAATGACATAAATTACTATATCTATATGCAATAAAGATTTTTTATGTATATATTTGTGTATATATATATATATATATATATATATATATTTAAATATATATATATTTGTATGTATATATATTTTATATAAAGATATATATTATATTTTATATATTTTAATGTATATGTATATATTATATATTATATATTTATGTATATGTATAAATTTTTAAAATTAATGAACAATTTATATATATATATATATATATATATATCAATATATACGCAATAAATATTTTTTTGTATAAGTCTACAATGAAGATTTTGTATGTATATATATATATAATACAAAATTTATGTATATATATACATGTAATAAAGATTTTTTATGTATACATATAATAATAATAATAATAATAATAATAATAATAATAATAATAAAAATTAGTTTTGATATTTTATTAATTGTGTATATATATAACGTTGTTTGCTATCGTTACATAATGTTACTAAGTTTACTGGTTGAGAGTTTGTTATGACCTTTAAAAGGTCACGGGTTTGATTTTCCATGTGTTCAGTTTCTTTCGTTTATTTCTGTAAAACAACGTCGTTTTAAAAGATTATTAATGGAAATAATGTTACTGAATTTAGTGGTTGAGAGTTTGTTATGATCTTTAAGAGGTTACGGGTTCGATTTTCCATGTACTCAATTTCTTTCGTTTATTTCTGTAAAACGACGTCGTTTTAAAAAATTGTTAATAGAAAGTTAACTATGTTTTTTTTTTTTTTTTTTAAATATAAAGATATTTTATTAATCCCAAATGGGCTAATGAAAGTTGGGGCAAACGACCAACCACGGTTACAAAATAGAAGAGGCCCAATACGAAAACCAGCGAAAACAAGATCAGCTCCGTGCAGTACACCGGAAAACACGAACTTCGCCTTCTAGATCCGACGCTAGCAAGGACGGCTCCTTTGCGGCTACAACCTCAACATCAAGCTTTTGGCTTGAGCTAGCGAACCCCGCCGCAAACCGTCGCCGAGAAAAAGCCAAACCTGGAACATTCCTTTCGGAAAAGGGAAACCCGCCACAACCGAGACCCAATACCTCATCTCCCCTACCTAGCAAGAAGAAGGAATCGAAACTCACCCTCACCTCCACCGAAGCCCACCCTCAAACCTCCCCTAGAGCAAACTTTACTTCAGATCCGGCGAAGGGAAAACCAGCCACGGCGGCGGAAGAGAGTCGCTGGCTCAGGCGAACCATCTTCCACCAAGATCTGGCCAAGGAACACCCGCAGCTCGCCATCTAGGATCCGGCCAAAGATCCACCGTTAATCCCTTCGCAAAGTGGTGAACCCACCGATCCACAGTCCGACTTCCGCCGCTCACCGGAGCTACAACTCACAAGCCGCCGAGCCTAGAGAATCTATTCCAATCCGCCGGCGTCCTTAACCAGCAGACACGGAGGAACATCATCTCATGGCTGCCGTGAGGAGAGCCACCGATTTGCATCGAAACCACAGATCCACCACACCACACAACACCGGAGAAGAGAGGCGCCCACCACCGCTTCAGCCGCTAACCCAACCTCCGTCGATGAAGCTCTTTAACAAAGGTGGCCGCGAGAAAAAACCCTAGATCTGAAAAATAAGGTGAAGAGGAGAGAGAAGAGAGAGAGGAACGATTGTCCGTCGTTCGTAAGTTAACTATGTTATCGTCTTTTTAACATAAATTTAACGTTATGTTCGAAAAGGCAAATTCTAACCAAACTTTACAATTTATGTGATATTTCGAAAGTTAATATTTTTTCATCCTATATTTAAAAATTTATGCATTTTTCTACAATTTTCCATTCGGATTTGGGTCTTCATTTTTTGGATTGGTTTCGGTTATTTGTTTTTGGGTCCGAATATTTTGTTGACGACTAGCCTTAGACAGTGAAGAGTACGGAGTTCCTTCCCATAAAGCCGATAGTTTTGGGACCCATCGCTACAGCCACGTGACCACGATTCCTCCGCCAGCTCGCATTGTCTCTCTTTGTGGACCTTTCTCCAAAAGTCGTCCTTTACTTTACTTTTTTTTTTCTTTTTCTTTTTCCTAATTTCCTAAAAAAAATGATACCTTTTGTCAACGATCGTATCCACTATTTTTTGTGGGTTTACTGTTAAGGCTATGTTCACTTTTATATCTAACATTTCCTTAATTTCTCTTTTTGGTTTTTCACTAATATCATTGTAGTGATAATTTAGTTTTTTTCATTTCATCTCAATATATCTATATCATGGCCGTCTTTGCTTCATAATTACGTCACCAACCCATTTTTCGGCGGTGTCTGTTTTCTTATCTATTCATATTTAAATACCTAACTGACTATAAACAATTGTAGTTTAGATGTAAACCTTTAAACCAATCCGTTGGTCATAGCTTGTGTGACATAACTCCACAAAGGTATTGTTAGTTGCAAATATAATGAAGACAAAACTCAAAACTTACAGTTGTAATTTAGGTGAGCACATAATTTCTAAATCAACTTCAAACCAAACCCTAAAACTCTTATGTAATAAATAACTACAATCATTTGGTATGTGTACATTACAACGGCACATGCAATAAAGTAAAGAATTTGACCTAATTTTCTCTCTTTGCTTAAATATTCTCCTCCACCACTTTTTGTCAGAAGTCACACTTGAAAGATAGAAAGAAAAGAAAGACAGAGGTTAAAACCGGAAAGAGTGAAAGTAAAGTCACGTCGGTCTGTTTATAAGAAAGAAAGAGATAGTAAGGACTAAAGAGTGAAGCCTAAGGGAAGTTAAAAGAGTGTTATTGTCGTTGCGGTTAAGCTCTCTCCTCGAAAAAGTTTTTATCTTTTTTAAATTCCATTTCTACCCTTTCCTTTTCCAAGTCTCTTTCTCTCTCTTTCCGAACACATCATCAAACCACATTTGTCTGTCTGCAACTTCACTGTCTCTCTCTCTCCTTCTCTTTCTCTCTTCTTCGTTTCTAGATTACTTCTTCTCGTCTTCCAATGGAATCTACTCCGCCGCCGGATGATTGTTCCGTTAAGGTTGCTGTTCACATCAGACCACTCATCGGCGACGAAAGGATTCAAGGTTGTCAAGATTGTGTCACTGTCGTTACCGGTAAACCACAGGTACAGTTGTTTTTTTCCCCAGTTTCAATAATGTTAAAAGCAGAGGCTTTTGTTCTGTCTGATTAATCTGGACTTATAGAAGATTTTTTTTATTAGGTGAAATTTATTCCAACTGATTAGCTTTTTTTTTTTTTTTTACTTAATCGGAATTGTCTCTCCCTGAGATCTAGATCTCGCGACGTTTTTAGAATCAGTGATTTTTCAGAGTGTTTATTTTATGCATGTTTGACCAAGTAGCTCTGTTTTTAGAATTATTGCATCATTAAATTATTTCCTTAATTGATTAGCTCACTAGATCAATTGTTTTTGTTGCTAATTCGACCTTTTTACTTGTCTTCCGGCATAAATAAGTCTAAAAATTTGGATATTGCTTAATATGTAAGAATTGGAATTGTTCATACTTGCTTAATTGTTAGTTGGAAAATTTTATTGTATTAATCAAACATTTCTTTTAAAATTGGGTGTATGTGAATAATGATGCAGGTACAAATTGGATCACATTCTTTTACATTTGATCATGTATATGGTAGCTCTGGTTCTCCATCTACCGAAATGTATGAAGAATGTGCTGCCCCGCTCGTTGACGGTTTATTTCAAGGCTACAATGCTACGGTTCTTGCTTATGGACAGACGGGTTCGGGTAAAACATATACAATGGGTACTGGCTGCGGAGACAGCAGCCAAACCGGAATCATCCCTCAAGTTATGAACGCTCTTTTCAACAAGATAGAGACTTTGAAGCAGCAGATTGAGTTTCAGATTCATGTTTCTTTTATCGAGGTTCTTTTAAACACCTTTCGTTTTCACAACCCGCAGTTTCTTTGTATGTTCATTTGTAACCTGACTGACCATTAATGATTTTATTTGGTAGATTCATAAAGAAGAGGTTCAAGATTTGCTGGATCCTTGCACTGTTAATAAATCAGACACTACTAACACTGGACATGTTGGCAAGGTAGCACATGTCCCTGGGAAGCCACCAATACAGATCCGAGAAACATCCAACGGTGTTATCACACTAGCAGGATCCACAGAAGTAAGTGTCAGTACGTTGAAAGAGATGGCTGCTTGCCTTGATCAAGGGTCGGTCAGCAGGGCTACTGGTAGTACTAACATGAACAATCAGTCCAGGTGACTTATGATATTTGTGTTATTAATATTTTTATGTACAAACTAAAACCCCAAATAGGACATTGCAGTCAATAACTTTAAACACTCATAAAAGTTTGTGTTTCTTCTATGGATATGCGCAGTCGTTCACATGCCATTTTCACTATCACCGTGGAGCAAATGCGCAAAATTAATACGGATTCCCCTGAAAACGGTGCTTACAATGGGAACTTGAAAGAAGAATATCTGTGTGCCAAGTTGCACCTAGTAGACCTTGCTGGTTCAGAACGAGCAAAAAGAACTGGTTCTGATGGTTTGAGATTTAAGGAAGGTTGGTGTTCTTCTGTTGCATTTAGTTTTAGACCAGTTACTAGCTTTTTGATCACTGGGATGTAATGGAAGTTGATTCTTTTCATCAGGAGTTCACATCAACAAAGGCCTCCTTGCACTTGGTAATGTCATCAGCGCGCTCGGAGATGAGAAAAAGCGTAAAGATGGTGCCCATGTTCCTTACAGAGACAGTAAACTTACACGGCTTTTGCAGGTATATTTGTTTTCAAATCTTCTTGATAGTACATTGTTCAGTCTTTGCTCCATTCTCAAAAGTTTTGCATGTTAATTTCTTAGGATTCCCTTGGTGGTAACAGCAGAACTGTGATGATAGGTAACCTGCAAGATTTCTCATTTATTTTCATTCTTATTTTTCTGAAGAAGTTCTGCTTTAAGCCCTTTCCACTTTGGTTAATGCTCGTTTAATTTCTCTATGCTTGCTATGCGGGTTCCAGCTTGCATCAGTCCGGCAGATATTAACGCAGAGGAAACACTTAACACTTTGAAATATGCAAACCGTGCTCGAAACATCCGGAATAAACCTGTTGTAAGCTATTCAGATATGTCAGTCAAAGAAACTTATTATTCACTGAAATTTGATTACTCTAATTATCTCTTTCTATTGTGTGATTCTTCAAAAACAGGTTAATAGAGATCCTGTGTCTAGTGAGATGCTAAAAATGCGCCAACAGGTAGAATACCTGCAGGCAGAGCTCTCCTTACGGACCGGAGGATCCTCATGTGCAGAAGTCCAGGTATGTTAACCTTAATGTCTGACTTTTCATGTGGGGTTCCAGCAGTTTTTTTAGAAGTATAAAGTTTAAGACTTGGTGTGATTGTGTAGGTTCTTAAGGAAAGGATTGCTTGGCTTGAAACTGCTAATGAAGATCTTTGCCGCGAACTTCATGAGTACCGTAGCAGATGTCCTGGTGTAGAGCATTCTGAAAAAGACTTTAAAGACATACGAGCTGTAATATTCTAACTGATACTTCTTATTCCTCTAATATTATTAGATCCTTGTTATGTTATGAAATGTCGAATTATTTGGTGGCAGGATGATATTGTTGGCTCTATCAGACCCGATGGGCTGAAAAGAAGCTTGCACAGTATAGAGTCATCCAATTACCCCATAGTTGAAGCCACAACAGGTATAAGAAAGATAACTAGTTAAAGGTGGAAATGAGTCTTCGTTTAGACTCAAAAGAGCGCTGAAACTAAAAGACGGTTATGTTATTCAAGACGAGATCTTTTATTATATGCAGGTGATTCAAGGGAAATAGACGAAGAGGCAAAGGAGTGGGAGCACAAGCTCTTGCAAAATAGTATGGACAAAGAGTTGCATGAACTGAACCGCCGTCTAGAGGAAAAAGAGGTGTCTTTTACATGTTATTTATGTATAGGAATGCCTCTTAGTTCCGCTTTGGCTTCCAGAGATTTATTCTTGATTATAACTTCATAATCAATGTATGAAAACAGTCTGAAATGAAGCTGTTTGACGGCTATGATCCGGCTGCCTTAAAGCAACATTTTGGAAAGAAAATTGCAGAGGTGGAGGATGAAAAGCGATCCGTTCAGGTTGAATATATATTGCCTCTGTGCTTAAGTTTCATCTTAGAAGTTTTATAAAAAGCATATATTTGAGTTGTTGAATTATTTCTTTCTTTTAGGAAGAGAGAAACCGTTTGTTGGCTGAAATTGAGAACCTTGCTTCTGATGGTCAAGCACAGAAGTTGCAAGATGTGCATGCTCAGAATTTAAAAGCTCTTGAAGCACAGATTCTAGACCTTAAGAAAAAGCAAGAGAGCCAGGTTCAACTACTGAAGCAGAAACAAAAGAGTGATGACGCGGCTCGGAGGTTACAGGATGAAATCCAATCTATCAAGGCACAAAAGGTATAAATATGATACATAACTTTGAAAATCTTTCTTGCATCCATAAATGTTTTCAGTAGACTCACATCTTCTCTTTTAAAGTGCATTTGTTTGATTCTCTTATTTTCCTTTCTAGGTTCAGCTACAGCACAGAATGAAACAAGAAGCAGAACAGTTTCGACAGTGGAAAGCCTCCCGGGAGAAGGAACTTTTGCAGGTACCTTTTCCTTCTTACTTAAGTCCTTGTGTTGATATTTTCTTACACAATAAGTCTTTTCTCAAATGATCTGAGATTCTAACTGTACCTTTATATTTAAACTCACTGCGCAACACAGTTACGGAAAGAAGGGAGAAAGAGTGAGTATGAAAGGCATAAGCTGCAAGCTTTAAATCAGCGCCAGAAAATGGTAAGCACAAGATTTTTACCATGTAATTTTGAATAGATGGCCTAGTGTATTTTCCATGATCTCTGAAAGAAAAAATATATATATATATATATATATATATATATATAAGATTCAGCTGTGAAACTAAATAAACTTTTCACTCTCAGGTTCTTCAGAGGAAGACAGAAGAGGCTGCAATGGCTACTAAAAGGTTGAAAGAGTTGTTGGAAGCTCGGAAATCTTCTCCTCGTGAACAGTCAGGTATGATTAATAATGTTTTGCGATTTGGTGTTCTGTGGTTTGAACAATGGTAAAATACTTGAACACTTCAACTGAACCATGTCACTTAGTAGTAATTAGCTGATTTTCAAAGTCTGATAGAAACTGCACATTTGATACATGAAGCCGTTTGCATAGATATCTTGGGCCCTGCAGGAGTTGTCCTCCTATTTCATGGGATTTTTATTTCTTAAGCTTTTGAGATTCTAAGTAAAAAAAACTATTTATGCAGCTGGTACAAATGGCTTTGGAACAAATGGTCAGGTACGGATTGACCATGGTCCCATTTTTCTTTATCTCGTGTAGTTTGAATCATTGTGCTTCTTGAGAAATCTAATTCAATTCATACTCTTATAGACCAATGAGAAGTCATTGCAGCGTTGGCTTGATCATGAGTTGGAAGTCATGGTGAATGTGCATGAAGTACGTCATGAGTACGAGAAACAAAGCCACGTGTATGTCTCGACTGCATTTAACCTCTGAAATAATTTTAGCCTCACAATCACCCTTTAGTCACTGATAATGGATATTTTGATAATTTCAGACGAGCTGCGTTGGCAGAAGAGTTGGCTGTTTTAAGACAAGTAGATGAGTTTGCAGTGAAAGGATTAAGTCCTCCTAGAGGAAAGAATGGCTTTGCTAGGTACTTTTTGATGAATTTTCATCGCTTTCTAAGCTTTCCCCGGTCCTTATTTATAAGTTTTTGTTTCAGGGCTTCATCATTGTCACCTAATGCAAGGATGGCCCGAATATCTTCACTTGAGAACATGCTTGGTATATCTTCTAATTCTCTAGTAGCAATGGCATCACAACTTTCTGAGGCAGAAGAACGGGAGCGTGCCTTTACAAACCGTGGTCGCTGGAACCAGCTACGATCAATGGGAGAGGCAAAGAATTTGCTTCAATATATGTTCAACTCTCTTGCAGAAACAAGGTACCTTGAGTTTCCAACTGACAAACCAACATTCAAGAAAATGGTTTTCAGCATTAGCGTTGGTTAATCTCCAATCAAGCTTTTCATGCATTTTCTTTTCTTGTGCAGGTGCCAATTATGGGAGAAAGATGTAGAAATAAAAGAAATGAAAGATCAGTTCAAAGAAATTGTTGGCCTTCTGAGGCAGAGTGAATTGAGAAGGAAAGAAGCAGAAAAGGAGTTAAAATTGAGGGAGCAAGCGGTTGCAACTTCACTAGTAAGATTATGCAACCTTTCCTATTATATCCATATTTCAGTCTACTTTAGTTTTGGTTAGTGAAGCAAAGGCATGAAAAATTAAATGTTGGTATAGGGAACCCCACCAAGTTCAGTCAAACATTTGGCTGAAAACCCGACACCTTCTCCAATGACCGTGCCAGCACAGAAACAGCTCAAGTTTACCCCAGGGATTGCTAACGGAAAAGTGAGAGGATCGGCTGCATTTCTTGATACAAACAAGAAGGTTAAATTCGCTCTATTCTACTTCCTTAGGATTACGTTGGCGCATAAAGAGCTGCAAATACTGGCTTCATTATAGGGGTCTAAGAGTCCTATGTACTTTTGTTGTGTGCAGATGGTACCGATGGGACAGGTATCGATGAGAAAACTATCAGCTGTAGGAAAACAAGGTGGGAAACTTTGGAGGTGGAAGAGAAGTCATCACCAGTGGATCGTTCAATTCAAATGGAAGTGGCAAAAGCCATGGAGACTCTCTGAGTGGATTAGGCACAGTGACGAAACACTCCTCAAGGCTAAACCCCGACTTAAGGCTCTGCCTAATAAGATCATGTGATTAAGGTTCTTACCGTTTTCTGAGAGAATCTTTTAGTGTCCAAGCTCTCTCTGCCTGTGAGTATGAGACTTTTATGGAAAGGATCATACAAATGGGTGCAGGTAATAATTAATCAATCCTTCCTAGATTATTTAAGCAACTTGGAGAGGATATCATTGTCCTTTTCTAACGAAGATCAATTCATGCACAACAGAGACTAGACTTGCTGCCGTGTTTCATTTGGGAGGAAAACTCTTAAGGTTTTGTGTGATATTGGAAACTTCGTTATTAGGCGTGTGTACCGCATTAAGGAGAACCACCAGGACGAGCGGCAGGTGCTGCTGATTGCTTGTTGTAGCTAACAGATAGCTGATGGCTTTTTAGGAGTCAGATTGTTCTTTTCATGTTGATAGAATTGACATCTTATACATCACTAAAGGAGCTGATGAGGAAATAAACCTCATCCTCAAGTTGCAGATATTTGTATGAACAATACCGGTTTTATTTGTTCTTTGGTTTGTTGTAAATGATTAAATATTTGTTTAGTGTCCACTTTTCCAGTATCTTAAGATTGAGACATGAAAATTGAAACGAGAGCAATGGACAAAGCCAAAAAAGATACAAAGTACATTCTTTACGCGTTCATTGATAAGCATAAGACACATTACATGTAAAGGTTAAGACAAATTTGAAGTGTTATATATCTATCTCCCATTGCATTCAAAGCTGAACAACATTTAGCAACAACATATTACAGCGAAGCAGTTTCTCATATAATGGCCAATAAAATAGCATCCTTGTATTACATATTGCTACACCAGTACGCATAATGTTCATCTCTCCTATGGATGCTCACCAGACCACCGCATTGCAGACAGATGAAGCTGCTTCCGTCAGCAAAGGCATCGAGCATGATCTGTGACCTCCCGCTTTTTTCCAGAATAGATATGCCCTGAGCATCCGCTGTAACTGTTTCTTTGGTACCAAATAAGTCTTTTGATGTTGTTGGCTCATGCCCAAGAGGCTGTGCTTCTGTAATGGCACACTCGGCAAATATAGAAGCCAGCTGATCCATACTAGCTGTTTCTTGAATTCTACGCTTGTATAGTTCACGGGTACGGTTCAATATCTGAAGAACCGCCTCATCTCCTCCTTGGTTTCTCATCGCCATCACGACCTGTTCAGAACAAGATAGACTGACTCAGGGAAGGGTTTTTTTATAAAGAAAAAAGTTCAATGCAGTCTATATACATAAAGTGAACGAACTTGCCATTATACAAGTCTCACAAAATCAGGTGCACGGGAAATGAAATCTTGATTTCTACAAACGCGAAAAGCACTCAAACTAATCCCAGTTCAACAAGGAAGATACTTTTATCATTCTAAAAGTCTAGAAGAAAATCAAAATAATTTGCATACTCAGAGTCAGAAGTCAGAACTAGCAATATTATTATGTGTACACTAAATCAACTATCTTATAATAAAAAGAGATCATTCTTCTACAATGTTATATCTTCTTAATATGATAGTCAATGGATGAAGGCGATGTGATAGGATTCAAACCGGTAAACTACTTCTTTATTCACTTCACCATAGAAGAGACAGACTTTACCAAGGGACGACGGCGATGCTGCTGTATCTGTTGGGAACTTGATGAAGGAAATGAGTGTAATAGATCAAACTTATGATACGCATTCAAGCTATAAAATCCGTCGTTATAATGGTAACTTAATGATCATCGGGATAAAATAACGTAACAAAGATGCAAATCTATCTTTGTGATTCTTCAAACACAACAAAAGCCTCCAAAAACTAGTTGTTCATCCTAAAGCAAAAAAAAAATCAGCTAGTTGCAACTAATTCGATCTTGCGATCTGCAGAATTCAAGCAGCTTAAAATCTTGAGGAACCCGAACCAGTAAACTACTTCTTTATTCACTTCAGTAGAGTCTTTTAACCAAGCGATGAAGGCGATGCTGCTGTATCTGTTGGGAAGTAGTTGATGGAGATGAAGGTAATGGTTCAATCTTAAGAAACACATTCGAGCTTTCGAATCTAAAGTTATAACGGTGACTAATGATCATAGGAATAAAATCTATCTTTTTGATAGATTAAACATAACAAAAGCCTCTAAAAAATTAATTGTTCATCCTAATAATGCAGAAAAATATAAGCGAGCCAGTGGCATCTAATTAGAATCTAAACCCATTCAAACAACTAAATCTTTAGGAAGTTCCAACGAACCCTAATCAGAGTCCAAAGGTGACACAGCTCTAAAGAATGTTTCAAATGCAAAAATGGGGAAAAATTAGGAAATGGAAGAGAAACCTAGAAGAAATCGAAAATACCGCTTGAAGAGCTTGAGATGGCTCTCCTTGATCGACGAGCCTACGAGCGGCGGAGAGAAAATCTCTGGCGGTGCTGGGTTTGTCGAGCATGAACGTCTCGGGGGAGTCGGTATCCATCATCTCCGTCTCGTGATTACTGTTCATGGCGTAATGCATCTGTAGAATGGAGAGAATCCAAGAAAAAAAGAAAAAAAAATAAAGTGATGAAACGCCAGAGGATTCTAGGAACTTCTTGTCGCATTCCCTAATTTCTCCGTACAAATTACATCTCTTAATTAAAAAAAAACAAAAAAAAAAAAGGTTCGAGAAAAAAAAAACGTTTTCAAAAGTCGATTAGTTGAAATTGGAATTGTCAATTAATGTTAGATTTTCTGTTTGCTAATGTATTTAAAAAAAGTATTATAAAATATCTAACTTTTTTTTATGTTTCAAAAAAAAGTATTATATATATATATATATATATATATATCGACTTTCTCGGCTCCCAATAAAAAATCGTTGGTTCTCTAATGGTCGTGCTTTTGGTCCGAATCTAAAGCTTTCCATTGTTGGTGGTAACCATATATTTCCGCCGCCAATCCCTCGAGCTTCTGTCTATTCCCTCTCTCATTTCTCTCCTTTGCCTCCCAATGCTTCTAAGGTCTTAAATCTCCCATTAGAAAATGCTCTTGTCGTAGAGCCTCTTGTTAGCTCTAGTCTGGCTGTTGTTTTTGTACCACCTACTACCGATGTTGAGATGCATCCGGTTGAAATTACTACGGCCTCTACAGATTCAAGTCTTACAAGCCCTAGATATGTGTTTCCTGTTATAGAACAAGTTCATGTAACCGAGAAATTCACTACTCTTTCCCCCAAAATCCACATCTCCATTACTCACAAACAAGGCCTTCACCTCTCATTCCCTTATCCATAACCCCATATCCACTGAAACCTCTACCCAAATTCCTCCCAAACCATCCATTGCGTCTAAATTTTAACTACCTTCAGCCACTCAAACCGGTCCACATCTATCTCCAAGTGACCAAAAAGATGCTATTGAAACTGAAGCTCCTGCCGAAAACTTACCTCTTCCTCAAAAAGATGTTCTCACATGTCGTCATGCTCCTGCCATTGCACCTAAGTATATGGCTGATAGACTTAGGTAGTCTGTTAATAGATCCTTAAAGAGATTGGCTCAAGTTTCTCTTACTGAATCAGGAAGACCTACAACCCACATTCCTGACCAGATGTTCCAAAAAGTGCTAAGACTCACAAAGATTTCATTATCTGTTTTTTAATGGTAGGTCTCCTCTCTTTCACCAAATCCAAAGTATATTTTATCATATGTAGAGACAGGCCGTGCTTAAAATACATCTTTTATAGGAATAAAGAGACATGAATCAGCTTCAAATGAAAGAGTTAATTTAAGTTTTCAAAATAAGTACTAGCTAAACTAAAAGTATGGAAAACATAAACATAATCAATTGGCAAGTATCATTATAGTTTATTTTAGGCCTGGGAATTCGAACCGAACCGATTTATCCGAACCGAACCGAACCGAGGTTTGGGTAAATCGGTTCGGTTTCTGTTAATTAGGTTTAACCGATCGTAATGGTTTTAAATTTGGTTTGATTAACCGAGATTTTCGGTTCGGTTCGCCCGAACCGAACGGTTAACCGAAAACATAAAAACCCTAACCTAATATACTCCTAGCCGCCAACAACCCTTCTTCAATTCTTCTTTTTCTTCATCTTTCTCTTAGATCTCCTCTCTTCTTCTGCTATTCATCATCACCATCATCTTCTTCTTCTTCGATTAATCTCATCATCTTCTTCGTTTCATCATCTTCTTCTTCGTCTTCGTTTCATCATCATCTTCTCTTGATTAATCTCATCATATTCTTCTTCGATTCCTCATCTTCTTCTTCGATTCATCATTTTCTTCTTCGATTACACCAACATCATCTTTTTCTTCTTCTATACCGGAATCTTCGCCCATGATATTTCGCCGCCGGTGTCTCCGATCAACGACTCCACTCCTCGATTCATCACTACGTCGTCACTTTTTTCTCTCCCACCCCAAATTCTTTTTTTTTTTTCTTTTTGGGTCAAGAGACCAAACGTGGCTTTTTTTCTCTCCCACCCCAAATTCTTTTTTTTTTCTTTTTGGGTCAAGAGACCAATTTTGTGGAAGCCCAAATAGAAAATAGCTTTTGGCCCAACAATTATGAACCGAAAAAAACAAAAGGCAAATACCGAAATAACCGTGAAATAACCGAACCGAACCGAAATTGTTAGTCAGTTAGTTCGGTACAGAATTCATTTTCCAAATAAACTGGAAAACCTGAATAGAATTGAGATACTCAGAATTCGCAACTAAAGTATCTCGTAGTTGTTTCTCCCATTTGGTCCATTCTGCTGCATATGTTCCTTTTGTCGACTCGAGTCTACAGCAAGAAAAATCAGAAGGAAAACAGGTCAGAAGAACCCAACCGGAGCTAGAGCTAAAGAGATGAAGTAGAGAACAGCCAGAACAAGAAATAAAAACGTATGTGAGCACTCATGTGTAGGATTTCTCCAGAAACATGATCCAAGTACATCTAATCTAATCACAGGATTAAAAAACTGCTGTCTTCCTTGTTAGTTTTTGCTAAATTATTACTATTGCCTTTCATTTTTTAATGTCAGAACAGACAGAGTTGTTTAAAATATAACAGGATGAACAAGTTTTGCCATACGATGCTCAAAATACTTCGGTTTGACATAAATTCAACTTTTCAAGTCATGTAAAAATGGTAGTGTTGGTACCCACCTCCCATGTCTTCTGTTGTGGAGATTGAACAAATCTATGCCCTCCTCAAGAACTGATTTAACAGGATCAGGTAAAGGAGTCCTGTATATGCAGGATAAGTTCTTATAAACCAATTATATATGAAGTTGCAATTTGTAGCTGTGCTAAGTTCGAGTTTGTTAGCTCAATTGTGATGTCAACCATATACATGTCCGATTTCAATAGTGGCATCTTGATGAGGGAGCCAAAGCGCTCAATCAATTCACTCTCAAATTCACTACGGTTCTGAAAGTTATAAAGACAGTTCAATAAAATGTGAGATCAAATCATAGATTTACTTAAAGAAAAGTTGTGGTGTATGTGATAATACCTTTCCCTCATAAAGGTGATAAAACATCAATAGCACATAGCCTGCATTTGAAGATTCCTTGTCGAGCTTTCCCTAAAAATATTCATTGCATATGAAAGAAAAGATAGATTGTTAAGAGATGTAGGGTTGTGATAAAAGTTGGATGATGCAGTTGAAGATAAACTGTGTAGAGGATGCAACTGTATAACGGATGGTTAACTCGTTGAAGTACCCGGAACATGAATACAGCCAAGGCATCAAGTGAATATGGATTTGTATCGGTTCCTGTGCATTCATAGAGGGCCAAAAGTAAATATCAAGCAAAAGATCACAAAGAATACAGAGGATGAAGCAAGGCACTAAATTGAGAAAACAAAGCAGAACAATACTTTTTGTGTGTTGTAAGAGAAGTATATGCAAAAAAATTGAGTATCAACCTTAGATTTAAATAAGAATAATACGGGAACAAATTCAGTAAAGATAATTGATCCTTCAACCTTTCATACTCAAAACGTTCACAGGGTCATCATATCAATTAAAGGTCAAATATTATGGAGTAAATTGGATATGACCATATTAAACAGCACACAAGAAGTTTGTTAACTGAAATACATCAAAGAATGGATGCATAGTTACATACCTTCAGAATCAGCAACGATTGGAACTGCAGAAGCCCTAGTTCTCCGACACATGTCTTCAATCCAATAGGGAAATACGAGAATAATATTGAAATTGAGACTTGTTAAGACACACAAAATGTGGAAATATATCAGGTCAGCGACCTATTATTGATATAGGTACTCTATCAAAAGTGCAAAGATTCTGATAAAAATTTACTACTAATAAGCCAAAGCCACTCTTAAAGGACCCATAGACCATAGGTAGAGCTATTCCAAATGCTAGCTTACACGAGGAGGGGCAGAGAATCATATAAGCCTAATACTCATTTCCTAATTAATGTGAGGTTGTAACAGATTCTCAACGTAGGATTAATTACCTGTCTCCAGACATCTTCATTTGGAGCATTTTTGTCAGCCAACATAATCGATTGTGGTTTTTTACGACGTTCATCAGCAACCTTTGGCCAATATTTTCCTGTCCAATATATAGAATATTGCATGAGATGGCATAGCAAAATTGAGAGACCAGAGCAGTTTTGACCAAAAAACCCTACATTCTAAAATACCTTTGACAAGATCACCCATCAGAGTATGCACTGGCCTATCATCTGCAAAGCCTCCTGGGGCGTTCAATAACTCCTTGCAAAGTGCAGATTTAGCACATCCAGGAATCCCTGATAACACATTAAAATTGTAGAAATCAGAGGAAACAAGATTAAAGGAAATGTCAAAGCAAACGACATATACAGAACGATATACCACCATTCTCTTTCAAACAATATGTTGCTCTCACTTCTGGTCAGAAGTAAAAAACTTGATTTTTGACTAATTTCTTATTATCTGAAATGACTAAAACAATTTTCTATAATCTATTAAAAGCTGGTAACCACTACCATCAATAAGTTCAATATAAGACATTGCCACAAAAATGAAGTAAAATCAACAACTAGAATACATGAAATAATATATAAACAATGCAAATGGAATACCTGGAAAGAATACAATTAACCCCTCATCCTTTTGGACAGCTTCCTTCACAGCTGGCTCAGGAGTAGCTGGTGTCACTCCTTCTTTCTTCAAAAGATCGCCTTCTTCATCTAGATCACCGTCAACAATGGCCAAGAAGTCCTCAGTTCTAACTAGGTTCCCAGCAGCCCCTATCAAAATCTGATTCATTGGGCTCCGTTTCGCGTACTGCTCCAAGAATGGCTCAGCTTCACTTAAGTATGTTGATGAAGATAGCTGATCATTCCCACACTTTCTTCTTATGTAAGTAGCCCTGTACATTGTGAAGAGAAGAAGCGATGCTAATCCAGATTCAAAAAGCTGAAAAATTATCTAGGCAGTAGGTTACACATTTGCTCAGGAAATAAGTTTCAACATAAATATACAAGCTTAGTCTACATGTGTAGAGTGATTTTGTTACCATTCATCAAGCATCTTGCAAAGTTCTTTCTGCTTTCCATCTGACGTACCCCAGATTTTCATTTGTCTGGATGCAGAAACAACAATAATGTCAGAAAAAAAATCAAATTCAAGCTTGTTCACGTAATCAAAAGCATAATGAGCATGCAACAAGGCAACAACTAGTCTCCCCGTTTTGTTTTACAATGCAATGCAAGTTAATCAAAATTCGGATTACCAAAAACATCACTATAACATTTGACACATCACTCTTTATGTATATATTCATAGGGAGAAAGCAGCTCACCTAAGATAGTAGGTTTTGTACGCTGCTGGCCCTTCTTTAAATAGAATTGATAGGCCATTACGGATCAAAAAGGTTCTCAACTGTAAAAAAAATGAAGACGTGTCCAACATCAGGATAATAATGCAACAAAGGAGGTAGGAAGTTGCAACAAATTACAAATCCATTTAGCCAGAAGACCTTCCTGGGAATAAATACCTTGTATGTGAGAAACTTTAATTTGATCATTAAGTTAACATCGCCATCAGCCAAACCATCCTTTTCTCGTTGACCATCATTTTCACTGGCATCTTTGACCGCATTCTCAATGCTTTTCAGAGCCATCAGATCCCTCCCTTTGTTTGACTTGAACAAATTAATATCAACAAAGAAACCTGAAAAGAAAAAAGAAGATCACTAAGTAATATATAGTTAAACGGAAAAAACAGATGGCAATGATCCATAGTATGCTACCACAACAACCAAATCTGAAACGTCCAAGAAAATTTGATTTCATAACGAAGTTATTTCACAAAGACTATGAACTGTGGAAAGTAGAGACAAAACTATTGAACTCTAGCAAATGAATCAGAAATGGTGCCTAGTCATGGAATTTTAGAGCAAAGCTAAAAAAATAAGAAACAAACAAAAATATTTACCTCGATATAAAGGCCACAAACTAGGCATGTGCCTGAAACACAGTAAATAATATGGTTCAGTAAACAGAGATCTTCTTAGTTTGATCAAACTGAACACTACAAGAAAACATAGCCATTTCCGAGGAAAATTTCCGACGAAATGTTTGGTCGGATATTTTCCAACAGGTTCCCGACGAGTTTCCGACAAGATTCCAAGGAAAAAAAAATTCGTCGGGAAATCGTCGAAAAAAGAGAAAATTTCCGACGACCACAAATTCGTCGGAACTTTGTCGGAATGATTCATCGGAAAAGATGGAAAATTCCGACTATTTAATTTTGTCGGAAATTGGTCGGAAATATTAGTCGGAAAAACCGTCAGAAATTATTAGTTTAAACCTTTAATATTTCCGACGAAATTTAAGTCGGAAAGTTTGTTAGTAGGAAATATGTCGGAAAGTTTAGTCGGAAATTCGTCGGAAATTATTTATTTGATCATTTTTATTTAAAAAACGAAAAATAAATAATTTATAATAAATAAATAATTAATTTCGTCGGAAAGTCGTCAGAAATATTATTTTGAATTTTTTTTTGAAAAAATTAAATAATTTATAATTAAGTAAATAATTAAGTATATAATTAATTTTGTCGGAAATTCGTCGGAAATTTCTACATTCGTCGGAATTTCGTCGGAAAATTTATGATTTTTCATGTTCCCGCCTTTGTACATTCAATTCAAAAGAATTTACCGCGTTTTGTAGTTTCCGACAAATTTCCGACGAAATACATCGTCGGAAATTTTTTCTATATATACCAAATGAGTTTTCATCCATTCCACAATTCCAAACACAACAATCTCAATCTCTATTAACATCTTCTTCTCTCTACTTCAAACATCATTCCTTTGTTGACAAAAAAAAAACATCATTCCTGTTTTTTTAAAGTTCAACATTTTTATTCTCTTGTTCAATTAATAGAGACATTTATGTATTTATAAATTTATTCATTTTAATTAATTTAATTTTAATTCTCATTTGTTGATAATGAAAATTGGTTATGTGACAATTAATCTATTTTTGTAGATATTCAATAATTATTTTAATTTTAACTATAATACTCTTTTTTGTTTTTTTTTGTTTTTTTTTTTTTAAATAGAAAAGTCGTCGGAATTTTGTCGGAACTAATTTCGGTATATATTTATTTTTATTTTAAAAGTGGTCGGAAATTTTGTCGGAAATTTCCGACAAAATTCCGACAAATATTTCCGACAATATTTCCAACGAATAGTTTTCGTCGATAATTTCCGACGAATTTCCGACGACTTATAGTTTCCGACCAGAGAATTCCGACGAATTTGATTTTGTCGGAAATGTGTCGGAATATGCTATTTCCGACGAATTTCCGACCAATACCGTCATCGGAAATTGTGATGTTTTCTTGTAGTGCGAAAGACATAAGTAACTAGAGACGTCTTTAAAGATAACCTCATCTCTTTTTGGTAACGCCTAAATCCTGAATCGCTATGCACATGGACAACCAATTTATAAAATAGGTTATCAGGTGATATGTCGTCAGCTCTATGAAAATTATGGTAACACTTGAATGCGGCAGGAAGACGTTTTTCCTTCATCAAGCGTACCATTTCCTATTTAAAAAAAAAAATTCAGTTGCTCATCAAAAACACATAAATAATGGAAACTAGTAAATATTACCACACGAAAGGACACTGCAAGTGAAAGATATACATATAACCTATAACTTCAGCGATACAAAATCAACAAAGACACAGATCTCAAGTTACCTGTAATTTACTAGTTGAATAATCTGCAGGCTGAGATTGCAGGAATTTTGTTATAACTGATTTGTCAGCATTTTTCGGATGAGATTCATCTCCGAACCAATCCACTTCACTGGGGCAAAAGCTTGGCCCAACACTCCTTAAAAGTGCTCTCATTTGCTGCAGCACCACAAACAACGAAAAAAGACCCTCTATTATGAGAAATCTTTATCAAGAGATGGCAACATAAAAATTCCACTTGATAAAGCGTGTCATATTAAATTTCTTTTAGAACCTGTTCCTCGTTAGATCTATGGGCAGCACATATCTCTCTTAGACTGAGTCCCAGATCAAGATTAGCTGAAATATTAAAAGCCAGGGAAATGATTTTTAAAAAATCTACACGGACTTGATAGAGTGGATTATCGTGAAAACTTAAGTAAAAATTAATATGATAAGATAGTGCACCTCCATCACAGGGTGGTGGAGGATGATCTCTCAAGACATTTTCCATATCTCTTGCACTCTGACTGCTCACTATACGCGCAACAAGACCCTCTAATATCTCACCCTGCACCTTAACATGGTCCTTTGAGGCTGTTTATTTTCATCCAAGAAATAATTCGTCGGATGAATTTAATCAAGTTCAGTTCCTTGAATAACTAATGTGAATTCTACAAAAAGCAAAAGTGAATACAAAATTAAAGAAAAACATTACATGGGACTGATATATCAGCTACTTCATCAAGAGCCCTACAAACCGAGGTTGCTATCCCTTCTTCACAGAGTGCATCAAACGCGGCAAAAAAAGAGGTCACTGATTTCCTTCATAAATTTTTAACAAAATACACGCTACCACCATTGTTAAAATTTTCATTTTCCTCACGACAAGCTGTCTAATAAAAATTCTATGGACAGTGTGTGCATCCAAACATATCAGCATATATTTCCTCCTAGTAGGACCAAAAAACCTCTAAAGGTTGAGGCTTCATGGATTAGACCAGTATATGCATCAACCAGATTCTATCAGCACATTCTTACTATAGTTAGGGAAATGTATCCTTCAAGCTTTACAAGAGAAGCACTAAATTCTTAAAACGAAATATTAGCTAAAAGTATTTCAAACTCTTTCTTCATTCTCTATTTAAAACAACAAGGCCTTAGGTAAAATGACAAGTAAGGGCAAGATCACCGAAGATGATAGTAGCAATGAATAGAAAGCGGTTAAGTTACCTTGTGGAAAACAGCCAAACATGATTTGTTGGTAGACGCCATTTTCGGCAAAATGCAATTATTTCGGAAGTTGAATAGAACTTGGGCTTACCATTACCTAACTCGGTAACGGCCGTCACTACCACTGCAAGATGCAAATCAATATTTTTTTTTACTGAACAGCTTTAGCAGACTTATCTGACTTTCAATATTAAGGAACATTATATAAACAAAAAACCTCACCATAATCATCCAGTGGGCGTTGACCATGATCTCCAAGAACAGCCGTTACCAGTTCCATAGATATGCACATGTGATTTTTCTGGGAGAAATGACTTATTGTGAGCTAGCTTTTTCTGGCAATTGATCAAGCCTCGAGCAATTGAGAATTTGGGTTGTTTAAAGTTCTGTCCATGGAAATACCTCAAGAAAATCATTGAACTCTGCTTCTTTCTCTAGAGACTTAGTTCCCCAAGCCTCCCTGAACATCCTTGAAAGAACAAAAACACCAACCGCAGTATAACTGCAAATGAAATATTGGGTTAGCATATGAGAAAACCGATTGGTCACAGCTCAGTTTACATAACATCAGAAATGAAAAAGAATAGTAAAATGCATTTGCTACATCAAAATGTTTTTCGAAATATATTTGTAGTACAACTTATATATGGTGTGGAATCTTATCCATAAATGTAACATCAATACCATTTGTGTGGAATCTTATCCATCAACGTAACATCAATACCATCAGCAAGCAACAAAACTCCAGAAGGAGAAAGCATAGATATTTCGTTGGGCATTACTAACTATGAAACTAAAATGTAGAAGTAATCTATGTTCTAAGTTAAAATGAATGAAAAGGGAGTTTGGGTTTATTCATTGGGGTTTTTACTAAAGATTCTTTGTGAAGAGCTCATCAATAATCAAGGAAATTGTAACTGAAGCTAAGATTAATTGAGCTTACATATTACCAAAACTGTTCTTTGCATATGCTCCCCCCTTGTGACCGGCGTACATAAAGAGAGAGCCAGAATGCTTAAGAGATACCTGTAAAAGGTACATTGCAACAGCCTCCTCGTAGGAGCGATGACTCGCTTATCACTGCCTGGATTCTCTTCCGCTATATGGTATGCGAAAACCGATTTGCTCACTTGTTCATCTTCTGGGGCTTTTTCTAACTGACTATTATGGGTACCTACCTACAGGTGATTGGTATGTATGTAGGAGTAGCAACAGTGGGAGTATTCATCATATGGTACACTCACAACAGCTTCATGGGAATAGACTTGAGCCAAGATGGCCACAGCCTTGTGAGCTATTCACAGCTCGCACATTGGGGCCAATGCTCTTCATGGGAAGGCTTCAAAGTGTCTCCTTTCACAGCAGGCTCTCAGACTTTCTCATTCGACTCAAACCCATGTGAGTATTTCCAGCAGGGTAAAATCAAGGCATCCACACTCTCCCTCTCGGTGCTGGTGGCCATTGAAATGTTCAACTCTCTGAATGCACTCTCAGAAGACGGCAGCCTGGTAACGATGCCGCCGTGGGTGAACCCGTGGTTGCTCCTGGCAATGGCGGTCTCATTCGGGCTCCACTTTGTGATATTGTACGTCCCATTCTTGGCTCAAGTGTTTGGTATTGTGCCGCTGAGCTTGAACGAGTGGCTGCTAGTGCTGGCTGTGTCACTGCCGGTGATTTTGATAGATGAAGTGCTCAAGTTTGTAGGAAGGTGCACCAGTGGCTACCGCTACTCAGCCCGCACTCCCTTCGCTAAGCAAAAGGAGGAGTAAGAAAACAATTCAAAAGGCATTATTATTAGACTGTTAGTTTTAGCTGAAATTAACTTTGTTGCTTTCCTCAGCCTTGCAGTTTAATTCTCTAAACGATAATTTTTGATTTGATGAAAAAATGTTTCTAACTTTGGTTCATGGACATGGCCACATGGGTATCCCAAAACAGCCCGTAATAGAAATATGAATGTTTCAACCAAACCTTGAGTCTTTACATGTAAACTTTTATGGTTGATCAATTTGGTTTTTCATTGGAAGATTGATTAGTTTGGTCATATATTCTGTGTACAAACTTATCAGATCAGAGATATACAATCTGTTTTCCCTGGGAGAGAAATCCGTATCCTCTGCTTCCACTACTGGATACAATGTCTGCAATATTGACTGCTTCTCAGTCCATAATACCATAAAACATCTTGCAAAATGAACTCATAACAGAATTTATTCTATTTTAGCAATGCTCGCTTTGTTTCTAAAAGCCTAATCTAAAGAATTTGCAGCTGCTTCCCATGAATTTGCAATTCTTTTGTTTAGTGCCAATCCCAAGAGGAGACAAAGAAATCGAGCAAATGGTTCATTCTCATTTAGACTTTCTTCGCATAGAGTTTGCAAAGATTTTAACTACACAACATTGGATACAACGACATAACAATAAAAACAAAAGCAGTAGCTAAAACTCCTAGATTTACTTTTGACTAATCAAACCTAAAACAAAGATCTCAGAAACAAGAAATTCCCAAACTTGCATAAACCCTAATCTCCAGATTAACCGCCGAAACCGTAGAGAGTACGTCCTTGCCTCTTCAAAGCGTAGACAACATCCATGGCAGTCACCGTCTTCCTCCTGGCGTGCTCAGTGTAAGTAACATCGTCACGGATGACATTCTCGAGGAAGATCTTGAGGACACCTCTAGTCTCTTCGTAGATGAGACCACTGATACGCTTGACACCACCTCTACGAGCAAGACGACGAATGGCAGGCTTAGTGATACCTTGAATGTTATCCCTCAGAACCTTCCTATGCCTCTTCGCTCCTCCCTTTCCCAATCCTTTTCCTCCCTTTCCTCTTCCTGACATCTCTTCACACTTACACAGAGATCTCTGTGACGAACAAAAGGAAATTTATTCAGCATATTGGTAACTAACCGAAACCCTAGATTTCTAGATCAATCAATTGAAATGCCAATCGAACATAAACCAGCAAGGAGAAGAAGAAGAAGAACAAGATACCTCTTGAGATAATTTGATCTGGAGAGAAAGAACAATTGAATTTGACGATATGAAATGGCCAATTAATGTCTTAATATATAAAACCGAGATGATCCGTGTGATTTTCATACTGACCGTTGATTATTTGATCCAATGGTTGTTACATTGTTAACAGTAGTAGATGGATCGATGACGTGGATTGCTCCCAATTTAACACTGCTAAAAAAAAAACATAATTCGTCTTCATAATATATTTTACAAGTGTGGTTTAGGCTGTCTTATTGGGCCCTAAAGAGAAAAAGAAATCTGGCCCCATAATAGTCTCAATACTACTCAGAGTTGGTTATTGGGCCCTAAAAGTTCCGTCTTTGTAAACCTGTTGTTACTCTCGGAAAAACGTTCAGAGAGGGTTTTCCATTCTCTGTGGCCGTCACCGTCGCCGTAAAATTGCTCTCTGTTCTGTATCTCCGGTGAGTTCTTATTTTCTTCTTTTTGCGAGGGATTGTGCTTTTCTGTGTAGAAGATCTCTTACTTCTTTGGAAGCCTGAGAATTATATACAACATTCCATTAACATGTCACCATTTTGGTATCCAGTCTCGATCTCTTTCTAATTGTTGTTGATGATCTTTGGTTGGTCAGATTATATTTCTGTAAGCTCAAAGGAATTGTTGTTACAATGTTTCTAACGCGATTTGTCGGGAGGAGATTCTTGGCGGCTGCATCGGCGAGATCGGAGTCCACTACTGCAGCAGCTGCCTCAGCGATTCGGACGCCCCAAAATCCACTCGAGAAGTTCTTTGAGTTTGACAGAAGCCAGGATGAAGATAAACCTGTTGTCTACGGTGCGTTCTTTTGTCATTTTCATTTTGGTAGACTTTACTCTTATGATACTCTAAGATTGTCAAATGTGATATATGTATTAAAGCTGATTTATGGTAACTTCTCTCTGCTTAATGCTAGTTTACATTGTTTTCCCAAATCCAGGCTCTTAGCTACTTGTGGATTGTTCATAGAATGTACTAAGTGAACAAGTTAAGTAGTTCAATGTAGCTTAGGATTGTAGTCAAGCCTGCTAATCGTTCGTTTGTCTTCTTAACTTGGTTATCCTCTTATGCCATGGAATATTTGGAATTAAGGATTGTTTTGTTTTGTTAATGGGGAACATTTGTAATGATTTGGTGTTAGGTCGAGGTTGGAAAGCTTCAGAACTACGTCTCAAGTCGTGGGATGATCTTCAGAAGCTGTGGTACGTTCTTCTCAAAGAGAAAAACATGTTGATGACTCAACGTCAGATGCTTCAAGCCCAGAACATGCAGTTTCCAAACCCTGAACGCATTCCAAAGGTCAGTTGCCTTCATTCAACTCTCTCTATTCAATTAAGTTGTTGAGAAATTGATAGAACTATGAGAAGAAACATGAATCCTTTCTTCATGGATTGGTTATGTTCTTTATTTCCAAAGGAAAAGATTATTATTATATTAATGAATGTCAACTTTTGTTTGCATCTCAATATATAGGTGAGGAGATCAATGTGCCGCATTAAGCATGTGCTTACAGAGAGAGCGATTGAAGAACCAGATCCTAGAAGATCAGCCGAGATGAAGAGAATGGTAAATGGTATGTGACCCATTGGCTCTTGTTTTGGCAACCTAGCAGTAAGCTCGAGTCTATTCGCAGAGGTGTTTAGTTTTTGGTAGTAAGAAATAACGCAAGAGGCTGAAGAAGACTTGGTATTTTGTCCTTTTGGAGCTGGTCTAGTGATTGTCATTGTAGTGTCTGGCAGTAGAAAAATGTTATATAAACATTCCTGTAACCTATGGTTGATGTTTCTTTTTAAGACACAAGTTGGTCAGTTGATTCAGAGCTTTGTCTTTCTCTTAACGAGAGAGAAAGATATACGGCTATTTAATATTTATGTGGCGTTTAGGTGATATACTTGAACCGAGGCAATTACACTGATGAAGTAGATTTCGGCAGATGGAAGATTTGGTGGTATAGTCGAGTCCTGTAGGGGCTAGAGTATTACTAACTCCGATTGGGATTAGAGGAGAATCAAAGCATTAGCTGGAGCCTGGAGCAGACAGAACAAATAAGAACAAGGTGTTCGTTCTCAGCACAACTGAATGACTATTGTGGCTAACACACAGCACGAAACAAAATATAATCTGATTATTCGATTACAAAAAAAAAAAAAGCTGTCGAAACTGATTTACCAAAATGAATAACCACCAAAATATTTTCATGGTATATACGCACCTTGCCTTATGGTTATTTGTTAATGTGGCCATTTTATATATTCTGCATTGATGATTGTGATCAGGGAATGGGAGAACCTTTAAATAACTACAATGCTGTTGTCGAAGCTGTCCGTGTCATGTTAAAACAGCCATTTCAGCTGTCACCCAAAAGAATCACCATCTCAACTGTAAGTACTGAGAAAGCTACCTGGAAACATTCGTAAAACAGAGAAACGTATTCATTGAATTTGGTAGGAATACTTCAGAAGTTCAGAGTATTTTTGTCAATTTGACAAAGGAAACTGCTAAATAAACTTCAATTCATTAAACCCTACAGTATGCAGAAGCTGTGGTAAATCTTAAAGAAAGTACGAGTATATGGTGGTATTCATAAACCTAGAAAAATAATGCTACCAGAACTACTTAGTAAGAAAATTACTGTCTTTCAAAAGGAATCAGTCTAGAGCCGCAAAGCAGTTTTTCTCATCATGTAACAGATTACAGTCACTTTCATGATATTTTTGAAAGTAAACTATTGAGAATAATCTAGTACCCTTTTTTTCAAATCCTCAACAGCATCTTCAAATAAGTCTTTTGGAGTAGCTCCAGAGGAGTTCGACGCAATTGCTGAATATACTGGTAAATCTTTGACCTGAGATGTAGAATTCATTTCCTATCAAAACAGTTCAATACTTGAAATGGAATAATAATTCTGGGTGACATAATATGCAGTTGAGTTATATAACCTTCATTAAATAATCACGCCATATAGTTTTGGCAGTAAGCTCTCCTGTTGCAATATGTTCCTCTATCAGCCCACGGAACTCATCACGATGCTTTCGCTCTGCTTTTTGAGTTCCTCCTGTTGTCATGAATAGCAGATATAATGAAGTAATATTCAATACAACAAACAAATAAATGTCAACTAAAGCCCGAATACCTAAGTACCTTCTGTATCTTCTTTTTCTCCTCTTCTTCTCTCTCCAGATCACGCAGATACTCCTGTACAAGAAATAAAGTTAGCCGAGTGTGGAATGGGAAGATAGTTCATGATCAATGTTACCTGAAAGATTTCTAGCTGATCAATTTTCTCAAGACGTGAACATCTTTCATCCACTTCTAAGCGGTCCTGAACTTTGCGCCATTGACTATTAGGCTGAAGATGGAAAATATGAGTCAGAATGAATTACCACAATATAGCATGGAATAATAAAAAATTTTAAAAGCGGGACAATCACCTTGATGATATTGCAAGATTCCAAAAATCTTCGGTATTCAATTATGTTCCGCTTGCGATCCTCAAGAGCTTTCACACGCTCCTTATAAAATTAACCGCATTACGAACAACGGAACCCAAATCAAAGTTAATGCCAAAACTTTGAACAAAGTAAAATTATTTTGATATTTGGTCCTCGCATATTATAAAGAGTAAAGACACACGTTCGTAAATGAAATTCAATTTTTAAGAGAAGGTACACACTTGACTAACAGATGTGAAGTTTCAAATGAATGATAAAAGTTATTAGAATTATGAAAAAGTCTCAAATGACCACTCTGGGCAAAATTTTCCAGTGGAAAACTAATGTCAAAAATACATGCATGTATATAAAAAAGAAATGGGAGAAACAAAAAAGCAGTTACTTTTCAAACAACACAAGATTCATTAATATATACACCATTTAATACCTTCTCTTTTAGCTCACTGACATGATCTTCAAAAATATTACGACGGTCTTTTTCTCGTTCAAGAGCTTTGAAACGCTCATCTTCTTCAAACATTGTCACAGCCTTACTGGATTTAAAAGGAACATTATATCACAAAAGAAATTGCAGTAATTCTCGTAGGGAAAAAGAATGAATTGGACCAGAATTATTCTGGAGAACAAACCTCCACCGAGTAGGAGGAGTAAGTTCCACGCATTCCTGGTATAAAAAAAAATCAATGTCCAAAATAAAAATAAGCGGCATGCAGGCGATTTTACGTACTTTATAATTTCCTAAAATGAAAGGCAGATATATCATGAAGCGGCAGATATATCATCTTACCTCTAACATCCTTTTAAAATCTTCATACCGTTTTCTCTGTCTGGCTAGCCTTTCCTCCTCAGCTGCTCTTTTCGTTTGAAGTAAGAACTGAATCACAACAAAACACAATTAACATCTGGTCAGATGTACCTATAAAGCATCACTGTTCAAACCTAGAAAAGAATGTGACTGTATTATATCTAAACATCTGAAATTTCTTAAATTCTCCTCTGATAAATTATCTTGCTAGGTTTAGGGTATGTGATAAAACGAAGTAACCTCATTGAAGGCTTGCTTCCGCTCTCCAAGTGTTCTCAGAGCACCGTATCGTCTGTCATTAATAATTTCTCTCATGGCCTGTGACAGAAACCACTTAAAACTTCAGAGCCATGCTCAAGAACAGCTTATAGTGAAAGTTGTACTACCTGTTCCCATGTCCAGTCAGATCCAACATTGGCAGATTTCAAAAGTGATTTGAAGACATCCCCAGCTTCCTATATCGTGAAGCAAAATTAATTTATGCAAACAGATAAGACCAGAACTATGCTCAGACATAAAACCAATCCTTCTATCGATGTCCCCAAAGGAACATGACATAAAACCAATCATACCGATTTATTGTTAAAGGAAAAATTCTCTTGATTAATTTGTTTTTCTTCCGTTTGGCTCTCAACTCTTTCACTTTCCACCATAGGTTTTGGCTTTCTTCTGGCCCAGTCCCACTACCTTGCTAAAGAGCAGATGGACAATTATGATAAACAGATACAGAAGAAATGCATGCTAATAAGAAATACTCATTGCTAAGCTTTAAATACATTTGCGTTTGTAGCTGACATGTCATCTGAATCTCCATTGTTCCCGACCGAAATTTCATCCTTCTCAACCCTGCAAAGATAGTTAATAGAAACTTATATAGGTCGTGATACTCAACACTAAAACTAAATAGAAAGGGAGATAAAATTGCAACTGTCAGTACAATGTAGCAGCAGAAGTTTTAGTCACAGGGACAGAAGGACCATCGGTTTCCGAAGTATCACACAATTGTGATGTTTCATCTGCAATCATCTGAACTCGATCAACATTTTCGACTGGAGAAGAACTTCCAGGAACTGAAGCTGGCTGCTTCCAATCAGAAGTAAGAGCTAGTTTCTCACTGCCCTCAGAGGTTGAAGTTTGGCTTGGTAGACTAGTCGGAGCTGCAGTTGATGCAGTATCAGAACGAGTCAGCACCTTAGAAACATCAATAATGCCTTCTGCATGAGGCCCTTGAAGAGATGCATTTTCTGCTTGTTCACGCGCAATCTGGCGAGAAGAGTTAGAATTCACACAACGGGAAACACAGAAATACAGAAGAGAAGACAGTAATTTGTCTTAAGAGAAACCTTCATTTCGTCAGGCATTGTCCATGTTGATTGCTTCGTAATCTTATTGTAGTAATACCTGCAAACATATTAAAAATTCAACATCTGAAGCTACAGAAGGAGATTTTTATTTTTCATCAGTTGTATAAATGAAATAAAAACTTAGTTGCATACTCACTTTCTTCCATCAGGACTTGAATGTTCTTTCCAGTCAGTTCTTGCATCTGCTCTCTGTATCAGAGAATACACATTTTATACATTAACTATATACCCATACCTTTTTGGTTAATATTGCTTCAGATCACAAAAGAACAAAGGAAGAAAGAATAACGGTCCAGTTCAACAGAGCATAACAGAAAATAGGATATTGGCACAAAGAATAATCACAATTGTTGTCGCTGAAAATATCTGAACGTCATAAGAAACAGGACACTGATGGTATCCTCCCATATTCCGTTACGAGAGTGTCTAGATAGGATGAACTATATCACTAATCCCTTTCATCAGCTGAAAATGACCAAATGAAAGAACTCCACAGGATTTCACTGTACTCACTTTCGTGTAACCCTAGCACCTATCACACAAGCTTGCACCATTGGAATTCTAGATATAAGCTCATATTTACATTCATATTAAAGAAAATATGTCCACCTCAAACCAAAGTGCAATAACTACTAGTAAGCAGTATATGTAATGCCATGGCACAAGACAGCTTTGAAATCCGAATGAGTAGATCATTCCTGAAATTTTCATTTCTTTAGCTAGGGAAGCTTACAGAACTTTGGGTGATTTTAAAAGACACAAATAGATACATAAACAGATGAGCCAAATAAATCACCTCAAAAGAGTCATCAACTCAACAGGCTTCTCCCAAGTGGACTTCTTTGTTCTCTTGTTGAAAAAATATCTAATAATAAGAAGAAAAAAAATAAATGTCATCCACCATATACTCGTACAACTGGAAACATGGAGCTAAAATAAATTTCTTCTACAAATTAAATGATGAGAATAAGATGTGTTCAGGTTGGGAAATACACAACGGTTGCACAATGTGCAGGACAATAAATCATCAGGAAACATCAAACACTTTCAACTGCAGAAAAAAAAGAAGTAAAACCGGATGCCCAGCAAACAAATCCTGTGATTTTCAGCACATCAAAACTCATAAATATCCAAGATGTCATGAGTATGGTTGCTTCCCACTAAAACTTTATGCTTGATAATAAGCCACCAGTTCAATATTTTTCATGCTAAATCCAGATGGAAGAACAAATAAGCAAGCAAAATATCATCAATATGAATAACAAGCAAGAATTAGATAGAATTCTTGTAAAAAGAAAGCAAGAGATAGGTTCATTGAGTGAACAGATCACATACCATTACATTTAACAGAGCTAACAAGTTATCAAACAAGTCTTTACCGAAATCAAAGAATCAAAAACATATGACTAAGAAACGTTAACAATGAAAAACCTACTCAAAGAGCACAAAAAATTCAATTAATAAAGAAACTATCATCTGCAATAGCCAATGATGTGCTCTCCAAATTTCACACAATGGCAAAAATAGAGAAACAACTACACAATCTAGAATTAGCTTTTGCACAACCTTATTATGTGCTTCCAAGTTCTCAGCAGTTTATCTCGTTTGAATATCAATATTTTAGTTTAGCATCATATGTGAAAACCGCAAGCAAAACAATCAATTGAGAATAAACAAAAGTCACATGACTTGTAAGTCTTACTTCCTTCCATCGGCAGAGGTATGCTCAACCCAATCTGTTAGAGCCTCTTGAGAAGGTATAGGTTTAGTAAAGCTTCCTTCAAGTCGCAAAAAGTATATCTATATTAGTATTGCAACCAAAAAAGTTCAGAAGGTAGTTACAATAAAAGAAATGGTAACAACCTTTGGTTGTTCAAATGTCGGATTCAGGATAGAAGATTGTGCAGTAGTCTGGCTGATAGATGCTCTATGTTGTGCCTGACTATGACTGCTTGGTCCAGTGACTTGAGGTGGTGCCCTTGAACCTTCGTAAGATGTGGCACTCTGTTTGTTCACAGAGTTAGGAACTAGATATCTAGTTTTCTGTAAATATAACACAAAAATATTTTCCTTCCTTACCGGAAAAGAAAAGAGTGCCTAGGGCCACCAAAGCCAGGCATACTAATATCTGGAGTCTGTACATAAGGCTGATGCAAGGAGGTACCAGAAGCAATTGACACATTTGGCTGTGAAACTAGAGTTGGGGGTCCAAGTGGCACATGTTGCACTTGCACTGATTTAATTGGCTGGGTCTTTCATGTGAATGGTGCATTGACTGTAATAACTGAGGTGCATAAGATTGAGGTGGATATCCAATGTTCAATACTGTGCCACCTCTGCCAACACATTGAAAGTTCTGAGAAGACAATCGAGCAACTGGCTCAGGACTGAGAGCTTGAATGGTAGGATGAAACTGTAATGAAATATATGCAAAACACATGTAGGGTTGAGCTGACAAATAGTCTTCAGATACATATAAGACATAAATCATTACCTGAAAGTTCATGGGTGGAGCAAAGCCTCGGGGTAAATCTATGGAGCTAGCATTAGGATGCTGGAATGGCTTTTAAAAACAAAACAAAAAAACGCTAAATTAGATGTAAAATTCAAAAATCATCACAAGAAATATACTTAAATCACATATTCAATGGTCAGAGTCATTTAGAAATTAACCCACAGCCAGCGGCCTCAGGGTAAAAGAGTATTGGAATAAAGAGGGTGCAAAATAGAACAGATATAGGACAAAAAGAGCACGCTCAGCAGTTTAATCCTATGCCTACCTGAATGCCAGGATACTGATGGTTATTAGCCATCTTCGAGCAGTAGTAGCCTCAGTGCAACCAATGGAAGATCCACCAAATAATAATGGAAAGTGCCTGTATTTGATCTCTGTATGCTCAGTTGAAATATGGAGAAGAAAACTAGACCTGTACAACAACCACAAAATAGGAATGAGGACGTGAAATAGTAGTCTACATTTATTTGCAATTTGCAAGCAACAACAATACCCCTTGCCTTCTAAAGTTTCTGATAGAATATCCAACACGGCATACAACGATGTCTAGATTGAACACGGCAAACCCCAATACAATAAAAAGGCAAGGTATAAGCATGGCATTCAAGCAGGTCTCTGTTCTAAGATGGTTAAATCGCCCACCATCCTCTCTGTTCAGAAAGTCCATGTCTTTAATAGGCCATAGAATGAGTATAAATTATCGAAAATGATCCACAAATCAATCAAAAGCTTAAAAGTTTTCAACTCTAGGTTTCAGTCTTGCAGATTACATGGAAATTACAACTAATTTCTGCCAAAATGAGACTAGAAACGAACTTATTCAATCAAATTCTACCCATAAGATACTCATTTTATATCAAACCCTAATAAGAACAATAGAAATGAGAAAATATCCCAAAACTTCAAACACTTCCCAATTGCTTTGAGTCAATCGCAGAATTCAAACACACGCCCAAAGGAACAAAGATAATTTCCGGCGAAGAGAAGGAAGAACTGTGGAAAATTACCAAATCGCCGGCGAGGAAAAGTCGATGAAGAAGTTGAACTCAAAGTTCAGAGCCAACACGACGGCACTGCGCTTCACCTATTAAATTATTAAAATTAAAAAAATATATATACTAGGATATGACCCGCGGTACACCGCGGGTTAATTATTTGATTTTTTTTTTATTTTTTTAGAAACTGATGAATTTGTTGTGTATGATATTTTTTTTTGTATACTGCGGGTCACATGCGTTGTATATAAAAAATAAAATTTTAAGTTGCATTTGTTTTGTTTACTGTTTAAGATTGTATAATTGAATTTTGATTTGTTAATTCTAAGATTTCATCCGTGGTATTTGTCCCGTATTAATATCGACCCAAACTCGTCCCACCATATACTCTTGTCATGTGGAATTAAACATCATTTTGTTATTTTTAATAGCACTTTTATTTAAAAGACATATAATTTGAGTCAATTTAAAAAGTTTACTTTCAAATGGTTTCCATAACATATATAGTTTAAAATTATGTATTTTTGGACCAACCCGTAAAAACAATTTATCATTGTATCTTAAAATACTAATAACTAGTTAAATTCATCCTATACTATTATTTGGGAAGTACATAATAGATATAACCTTACGTTTTGTAAGTTATTACATTAGAATGCCATTGGAGATAAAATTTTAAAGAGTAAATTAATTCATCTTATTAAAGATAAATAATTCAAATACTAATTTATTCAATTTAATTAATTTAATTAAATTATAAAAACGAAAATACATTATTAACTTTTTTTAAATGACCAATCAAAATGAACATATAAGATTTGATATCTAAATTACCATATTAATTTTTTACTAATCATTATGCTTCACCTCTCATCTTATATGATATATTTTTGTAAAAAAATAAATCATCATCACATAATAAAAAATTTAGAATTTTTCTGCATATATCATGATTTGAATTTTTTTAAACGAATCTAAATCGTTCAATCTATGAAACGGGTCAAAAATTCATGAGTAATTCCGATTGAGTAACGGGTAAGAATTTGAATATTTATATTCGATTTCATACATTTTTTTTTTGAAACAAATATATTTAAAATATTTATAATAGGCGGCGGGTTATATATAATATATTATATGACTGAATGAGTTATGATCCTTATAACTATTTGAAAATTTCTATTTAATTTCATAAAATTCTTTTTCTGAAATTCATTTTATATAGTACAATAAAAAATTTAAATATTTTCATTTGGAAGATTTAAAAATATTTTGATTTCATATTTAAAAAAAATCATATGATAGAAATAGTTATATTCCTTATAAGAGACGACATGTTAAATACTATTTCTTAAAACAGATATATTTAAAATATTTATAGCACGGGTTAAATTTAATGTACCATATGATAGAAATAGTTATAATCCTTATAAGAGACGACATGTTAAATGTTAAGATTATTTGGTTGGATAGGTTAAATTAGGTTTGATACCTCTAAATATTTGAAAATTTTGATTCTACAAGTAATTTTAAAAATAACAAATGATGGATTGTGCACACAATATTTTCATTGGGATTCTAAAATAAAAATATAAACTCCATCGATTTGTTGAATTGGTATATTGTAAAAAAAATGTTTATAACATATTTGATTATGCGAATAATTGTTAAATTCTGTAATTAGCTCAAACAAATATCTATTTCAACAACAAAAAATTACAAACTGAAAAAATAAATTCTTAAATTAATTTAAAATAATAGTTAACTTCTTTAATTAATTAAAAAAATCTACGTTTTAGATGCAATTCATTTATGATATTTTAATTTTTGATCTAACTGAATTATATGCAATCTCATTTTGTGGTGGTTGTTAACAAAAATTAACTTATTATTCAAACAATATTAATCTTTTTAAAATAAATTGTTTCCGTTTTTATATCTTAAAAAATTATCCATAATTGAGTATTATATAAAAAAATATTTATTTTAATATTATATATAAGGACTGACAAAATTATATTTTTCACTTATTACTATAAACTAGGGGAGTTACCCGCGCCTTGCGCGGTAAGATGATTTTTCGAAAAAAAATTCAAATTATAAGATTAAAAATAGTTTACTGATTTTAAAATACGATCGAATTATTACAAATGATCAAACATAACGTGTCTAGTATAAATGATTTATCCATCTAAAACTCATAAGAACACCAAACTAATCAAACATTTTTGTAGACTTCTCCATGACCCATTCAATCATCCGACTCTGAATATCTTGCATTCTTTGTAGCCCAAGGAAAAGCCATCGAGAGTGTACTATGTATGGAAAACTTGCTAGGTTATTATCCGAAACAAATGCGAAGATCCAATTAATATATCATGATAAACTCTGAATATTATCGTTCCTAGATCTCTTCAAGATCGTAAAAATCCGGGCCAAGATAAAATCTAAAACATCCACCTCCATTCATGAGACATGCTTTCCCCTGAAAAATATAAAATTCGATAAGATCATAATATATTAGCTTCCTTAAGGTTATTATTTTTTAATATGATAAAAAATATCAATCAATACCTTTATACTCATCAACCCGCCAAAACCTCAAAACACAAAATACAAGATCACGATGGTATGAACAATCGTATTCTCTGTTAACTCACACCCTCATAAAATAATCGGCCAAATCTTCCACTGCGTAATATCTTAGTGTCAACCCCTTTTAATTTACAAACCAAAATAAAAAACGACATATATACGAAAATATTGGCATACAAGATAGAAAGGAAATTTACCTATAATTCTTTAATATGAAATTAAGCACAGTTGCATCCATTTTTTTTTTTTTTTGAATTTAATGTTAAATTATATTCAAAAGAAAAAATAAACGTTTTTACAACGAAGTGCGGCGTGAGTTTGAGATAGGGTTGAAAAAAATTAGCTGATAAGAATGCTATGAGAATTTGAAAGTATTAGCTCCGAGTAGCTAACCACATTTGGTACGCCTCGTCGTATCTTCTATCTCCCATACGTCGAAGAGTTATGATCCGGTTTCTGACTTGTTTATCTATCCACTTTGTGATGAGTGGTTCCGAGTGTTGATCCTCGCCGTGCCTACGACCATTTCGCTCCCGCCATATCATGTAAACCGTAGTTTGAAGAGCGTATCGAATTAGGAAGCTCTCCACTCTGCCTCGTTGATTATTTGAAACATGATCGATGAGTTGTGACCAGCCTGTAGTGAAACGTGCTTTGAGAATCCCCTTAGCAGTAGACTTCCAAATTCTTGAGGTAAATGAGCAAGCGAAAAAGAGATGATCTCTAGTTTCCACAGAGTTTTGACAGAAGACACAAATACCCGTTGCTCCACCGTTCCATCGGGCATGCGATCTCCTGTAGAAAGACGGTCATGGGCAGCCAACCACATACAAAAAGAGTACTTGGAGTGTTATGTGGAAACCATACTCCCTTGCTCCACGAGACAGTGTTTGAGGTCGTTCTAATGTGATTCCAAGTATCCTTTGTCGAGAACTTTGGATGAAAAATGTCGTTCTTTCCTCTCCATACCACTGTGTCTACCTTCTCAGTTCTTTTTTGTCGCTGCGATAACAGAGCTGCTTCCATCAAATTCAGGTAGCCCGCACGGTGTCTTCTCCTCCTGCGGCCAGTCCAAGCTTGAGCTACTGAGCTTTGTCGACTGATCCCCATGTCTATAATTCCTCTATCTCCCGCAGTATCAAACAGCCTGTTCATCGGCGACCAATCATCAAACCAGAAAGACGTGAGTTCACCATTGCCGACTTCGACTTTGCAGAATCCCTTTGCCACTTCTCGATACTTAAGAAGCTTTTTCCATATCCAAGAACCCATACTCGTGTTGTTTTTGAGGGACCAGAAAGATGCTTTCTTTAGAAGGTTGGTTTGTATCCATTTAACCCATAAAGAGTTTCCCTGCGATACAATTCTCCAAATGAGTTTTAGACAGCTTACATTGTTGGCCTCCTTTAGCGATCGCAGCCCGAGGCCTCCCTCATGCTTTGGTGTACATACTTTCTCCCACGAAATCTTTGCTTTATGGGGCTGCAGGTCCGTACCCGACCAGAGAAACGATGAACAAAGATTTTCAATTCTTCTATGCACTCTTTTGGTAGTCTAAAAGCAGCTAACCAAAAGTTACATATACTCCACACACTGGAAATCAAGTTTAGGCGACCCGCAAAGGAAAGCGAGCTGACCAAGAGTTCCGTATTTGCTCAATGAGAGGTGCATAATCCGCAGTTGCAAACCGTTTGTTACCAATGGGAGTCCTAAGTAACGAACCGGAAGGCGCCCTATATCAAAAGGTTATTTTTCAGAGAGTTGTTGGATAGAAGATGATGAGATTCCAGCAAGGTCGAGCGTTGATTTCTCCATACTAATCTTTAGACCCGAGTGTTTTGCAAACTCATCAAAGACCCCTAATACCTTCCTATCGAATTGTCCACGAACGTAAGGGATTCTTTTAAGACCGCCAATACGGACGAAAAATCCCACCATATCTAAGTTTTAGGGATTTAATTTGTTAGCTAACCCATAGTTACATTAAAACCAAAAAAAAACAAAAGGAAGAAAACAAAACTTACCGATAGGAATATCAGTCAGATCCTCTATCTTTTTATACGTCTAATCTTTCAAACTCATATCAAGTAAAGACCTATTGATTAAATAAAGAAACTTCTTTATTGATATGAAAACCAATAAAAAAAAATTACTATTACAAAACAA